AACCCCCTAACCTCGGACTTTTCCCTCCTCGGGGTGGCCACCACCGTACCCTTAAGTGCCCCTTACCCCCACCCCTTATCCCCTAGCCCCCCCCCCCACCAACCCCCGCAGTCTCTCCGGGGGTCCCTGCCCCGACGGGGCGCCCTCCCCACGCACCGGCTCGCTCCGTCCCGCCGCAGCTCCGCGCTCGCCGCCGCCTTTTCTCATGCAGATCCCCCTCCTTTCACACCTCCCAAACAAAGGCAAAGCGGGGGCATCGCCTCGCCGTGTCAACACACACCCTCATTAGCGCCGCTACGGCGGGGGGGGGACGGCCCCGAGCCGAGGAAGGGCTGGGGGGGGAGGTCGCACCGACGGGAGGGTGCGGCAAACCCAGGAAATTTGGAGAGGGTTTTGCGCCCCCCCCCCTCCAAAACCCCTCCACGCCACCCCAAATAAATGAAGTGGCCCAAGCTCAGGTTCGGTTTATTGCAAGGTGCAAGGGGGAGGCACACACGAGGCTCCGGGGGGTGGGGGGGGTGGGTTGGGGGTTGTTTTTGGGGTCCCAAATGGCAGGGATGGAGAGCAGGGGATGGGGACGGGGTTCCGGGATGGGGCTGGAGCTCGGGGAGGGTGGGTGTGGGGGTAATTAAAGCCTCTCCAATTACCGCCACCCTCGGAAATTGAAAAAATAGATATAAAAAAAATTAAAAATCAACCGATTCAAACAGCTGTGGGAAGGGAGAAGGGAAAGCGATCGGAGAAATCCCGACCGCCGGCCCCGCTGCCGCACCGGGAAAGGGCTGGGGCTGGGGGCTGGGGCCGGGACCGGGGCCGGGGGACAGGGGGAGGGAGTCGGGGAGTCGGGGGGGTCGGGGCCGGCCGCCCCCAAAAGCCGGAGAGCCCCGGGGCACCGGGGGCTGCGGTCTCCATCCCGCACCCTTCCCGCTTCTGGGTGTTTGTTTTTTTTTTCCATTTCTCTTTTTTTTCCTTTCTCCTTTTTTGTTTTTAATTTTAATTTTCTTCTAATTTTTTCTTTAATTTTTCTTTTTTTTTTTAACTTTCCTTTTATTTAATTTTCATTTTTTCCTAATTTTCCTTTAAAAAAAAAAAATCCCTTTTATTTTCCCTATAAACGGCCCCCAGGAGCCTGATCCCGGAGCCCCCCTCATCTCCTGCCGCCCCTTTTCGTTTGGTGCCGTTCCCCCCTCCGAAACCCGGGGATGGAGCTGGGAGGGGAGGCACCGATAAATCCGTTAAAACCAAGAAAAAAAGGTGGAAAAAAAAAATCCCTTCGTTCTTCGTTTGGATTTCGTTTTTTTTTTCATGTTGGTTTTGGGTTGGTTTGATTGTTTATTTGTGTGTTCCCCTCCCGCTGGGCACAAAAACACCCGCGGCGAGCAAAACCCCCCCGGGCCGGGCTCCCCGGTACCGAAAAGGGGGAGAGAGGAGGAGATTTGGGGGGGCACGGAGAAATCGGGAAGGGCACCGGGGCCCATCTTGGGGGCAGGAGATTGGGGTCGGGGTTGGGATCCCTCCCGGCTTGGGGTCCCTCCTTGCCGGGGGAGCTCCGGGGGGGCTGTGGCGATGCTCGGGGCTCCGCAGCTCCGCAACCCCCAGCACCCCCCGGACCTCTCGGAAATTTCCACGTCCCCTTTTAACCTTGGTATTAATTTAGGACGGATCTTTCTAAACGGCCCCGCAATGCATTCAGACGCTGCTGGAGGTTTATCTTTTTTTTTTTTTTTTCTTTTTTTTCCTTTTTTTTTTTTTTTTTTTGTACCGTGGGTTATATTTACACCCAAAACAAAATAATTACACTTTTGTTGGAGAGAGAAAGCTGGTGATTAGGCTGTGGCTCTTTGCAGCAAACCCTTTCTCAGTGGTACACCAGGACAATTTTTCACGGCTGGGTGAAATCAGACGCGGGAGGTAATGAATCCTGTGAGCTATTTAAATTTACAATTTGTAACGCAGTCACTCAGAAACGCCTATGGCCCGGCGACGAGATGCTTGCTGGGTTTGTTTAATGTTAAAACGGCCCCGGCCCCCTTTTACCGGGGAGAGGAGGGGGCGGCTGCGGCATCCTCCGGCCCCGCTCCGCGCTGCACCCGAAAATAGGGGAAATCGGGGAAAACCTCCACCAAGTCGGCGGCGGAGCATCCTAGCAGCTAGATAATTAATTACAAAACACCGGGGGAATATGCAAACCGCGTATTACAAATTCTACAGGGCTTAACTGATTGGAAACAGATTATTATCTTGTTTGTCTTTTGTCTGTTTCACTTATCCCTCTGCCGTCTGTTGTGTTGTAAGTTGATACACTTTATTCTTGAAAGGGGATTTTTTTATTATTATTATTATTTTTTTTAGGGTGTAAATTCCATCGACATCTTCTACAAGCGACGCCGCTTCTCCGTGCGCTCCCCTGTTAAAACACAACGGGTTGGTTAGGTGCATCAGTGTGCCGCTGCCTCAATTACCCCGGGGGAATGCGGCCAGCGGGGGTGGGCTGGGGGGCTCCTGGGGTGCGTTTTTCTTCTCCCCTCCCCGATGCCTTTATTTGTTCCTTTACTTTCAAACGAAACGGGGAGCGGGAGGGGGGGAGAGGCAGCGCCTGGCAGCGCCTCGCGCCCCCTCCAAGCCCCCCTCGCCCTTCTCTTGAGTCCGGAGAGGTCCCGGGGGGTCCTGGAGAGGTCTCCGGGGGTCCCCGGGGGGTGCCCAGGAAGGTTCCGAGTGGACCCCGGGCGGGTTCTAGGGAGTCCCGGTGTGGTTCCGGGGAGGATCCCGGGGGTGTCCGGGGGGGTTCTTCGGGAAGATTCGGCCAGCCCCGTGGACGGGGGGTGGGTTACGGGAGGCTCCGCCAAGCCGTGGGAACGGGGGTGCGCGGGGCGCACAAGCTCCGCACCCCCCATCTGGCACCTCCACGCGTGCCCGTGGCAGCGTGTGCTCGGCGCCTCCCCACGCCCTCCCGGTGTGTCCCCCTCCCCAAAACCGTTCCCCCCCCGCCGTGGAACCGGGTCCGAGCCCACCGAGGGCCGCGGCCCCCGACGGGGCGCACCGGGAGCCCCCCGCGGCCCGGCTGTGCCCGTGGGGAGGGCGCGGGTGTGCGCAGGAGCGCGGGCACGCTGCCCCGGCCTGGAGGTGTGCACGCGTGGGGGTGCGTGTCCACGCGTGTGCGCGCACCTCCCGCGGGCACACGCCTTTGGGCAACCGCACCTACCTCGGGAACAAGTCCGTGGGAACGCGGCTCTGCTGCGCGGCTCCGGGGCGCAGCGCGGGGGGGAATTGCAGGGCCCCCCCCGGGGCCGGTGTTGGGGCCGGTACCGGGGCCGTGACCCCCGGCCCCGACCCTCCCCGAGGTCTCTCCCCGGCGTGGAAATTCAGCGGCGAACCCCCCCCCGAGGGCAAACTTCGGGCGCAGCGCGCTGGGGAAGGGCGCAGCGGGCGCTCCCGTCGCCTCCTCTCGTCCTGCTCCTTCCCTCCTTAGCCGGTGCCTTCTTCATTTATTTCTTTCTCTCTCCTTCTTTCTCACCTCCTCTCTTTGTTTTCCTTCGTTTCCTTCCTTCCTCGCTCGCGCTTTCTCCAGCTTTCCTTTTCGTGCCCTTTATTTTCCATCCTTTCTTTCATTCCTTCCCGTTTCTCTCTTCTTCCGTTTCCGCGCTCCCGATGGTTTTCCTGCCTCGTTTCTACCCTTATTTTATTTAATTTCTTCATTTTTTTTTCGTTCACCTCTTCCTAGCTTCTTTTACCTTTTTTCTTTCTGATTTTCTTTTTTATTATTTTTCGTTTTTCCTTCATTCCTTCCATCCGTTTTCGTTTATTTTTGTTCTTTATTTTTTCCTCACTCTCCCGTTTTCCTTTCTCTTCTCTTTTTTTCTTGTTTCTTTTTCTCTGCTTTCGTCTGCAGATTTTTTCACTTGTCACTCTTTTTTTTTTAATATTATTATTTTCCGTTTCTTTCTCTGTTCTCTTTTTCTTTACCTTTTGTTTTATTTCTTTCTTTTCGGTGGCCTCCTCTCCGTATTTTCTCTCCTCCATCCTCTTGCCCCGAACCACACAAATCCGCCTCCTTTTCCCTCTCCCGGCGATGTCCTTAACGCTGCGGATTTGCTTTTTGTTTTTTTTTTGTTTTGTTTTGTTTTTTGGCTTTCCTCTGCCGCTTCCCTCGCCGGCTGCGGGGTTTCGGGGGGCGGCCGGGGGGATTCGGGGGGTCCCCAGGGGCCGGATCCCCGGGGGCAGCCGGTTCGGCACAGCCCCGCCGCACCTGCAGCTGGGGAGAAAAAACAGCGGAGAAGTGCGGCGGCCCCGTCCCGGCCTCCTCCTCCTCTTCTTCCTCTTTTTTCTCCCCTTCCTCTTCTTCCTCCCCTTCCTCTCCTTCCTCCCCTTTCACCGCTTTCTCCTCTTCCTCCCCTTCCTCCCCGTTCATCCCCGCATCTCGGGGCCCCCACGGCAGCTCCACAAAGCCCCGCGGGGGGCCCGCAGCGCAACTTTGCGCCCCCTCCCTTTTTCTTTCCCCCCTCCCCAAAAATCCTCTTCCCCCCTTCTCCCCCATTTCTCCTCCCCTCCCTCGTTCCTTTTACCTCCCGGCCCGGCCAAAATAAATAATAACACCATAATACTAATAACACCAAAAGCGATCCCGTCGAGAAAACAGGTGCTGCCTTCTCCATCCCGAGCCGGGATGGGGAGCCCTCCCCCAGCATCCCTCTGGGATAAATTAAATTACAGAAAGAGGGAAATTTCAAAAAACAATGAAAAGCCCTTGCGGAGCCCCCCGGGCGGCCCCCCCAAGCCAGGTGCGTACTCACTTGGCGGCGCAGGTACAAGCCACCCTCAACAATAGAGGCGCGTTGTTTTTTTCCCTCTGTGCCAAGCGCAGGGCTGGAGCCAATTTAGATATGCTATAAATTAAGAGGTTGCCATGGCCACCGGGATGCCATTGGCCACCGGGCGGCCGACGCGGGCCCCCACGTCACCAAATCTGAATAAGGATGCGCGAATTAACTAAGGCGGGGGACAAAGCTGGCCATGGGGACAGCATGAGAGTGGCGGCGCGGCGGCGGCGGAGCACAGCGAGGCACCGGGGCTGCCGGCTGCAGGGGGGGCGTTCATGCACCCCTCCTGCCCTGCCCGCTGCCGCACAGCCCCCCAGCACGACGGAGGGGCCGGGGGCGTCCCTTCGGGCTTTTTCGGGGCCGTTTTGGATTTTTGGGGGGGGTCTTTTTTTTTTTTTTTTTTTTTTTTTCTTCTTTGGGCTTTTGGGTTTTGTGTTTTTATTTTTTCCATCCCCGCCGGAGAGAAGAGGGGGAAGAACTTGACAGCTCCGCTCCCCTCCTTTAATTTTTGAGTTTTTTTTTTTCCTGGTGTGTTCTTATTTTTTATTTTTTTTATTATTAATTTTTTTTCCCGACGGGTGAATTTTTGCGAGACCTCGCTCGGGGCTCTGACTTCTCGGTGGCGAGGCTCCTTTCCCCCGGCGGAGGTGATGATGGTGCATTGTGCGGGCTGCGAGAGGCCGATCCTGGACCGCTTTCTGCTCAACGTCTTGGACAGGGCATGGCACATCAAATGCGTCCAGTGCTGCGAGTGCAAGTGCAACCTGACCGAGAAATGCTTCTCCAGGGAAGGCAAACTCTACTGCAAAAATGACTTTTTCAGGTGAGTGGCACCCCCCCCCCCCAAAAAAAAAAAAAAACAAAAACAAAAACAAAAACAAAAACCATACCCCACACCGAGGGGATGCGGTGCCGCCGCCGCTCCCAGCCCGGCGGGGAAGAGGAAAGGGGCTGGGGGGCTCCCCAAGGGATGAGGAGGACTCCCCAAAGGATGGGGGGGCTCCTCAAGAGATGGGGGGCCTCCCCCTGAGAGCTGGGGGTCTCCCACCGGGATGTGGGGGGGTCTCCCCTCGAGATCTGGGGGTCTCCCCCCATCCCCATCCTTCCCTCCCGGGAGTTGGGGGGCTCCCCTCGACAGCTGGGGGGCTCCTCCTGGGTTCTGGGGGTCTCCCCAGGGATTTGGGGCTCTCTTCCCGGGTTCTGGGGGGGCTCCCCCCGGGATCTGGGGGGCTCCCCTCATCCCCTTCCTTCCCTCCCGGGGCTCCAGCCCGCGGTGCCCGGGCAGGGCGCGGCGAAGATGGGGCCAGGGGCTGCGCTGCAGCCCGAGGTTGGGGGGGGGGCTGTGCTTTATCCTCCCCCCCCCCAGCTCCTTGTGTGACCTTGCCTCCAAAAGCAGCCGGGCCCGCAGCCCTCTCCGCCGACCCCCCCTCCCCCCCCCCCCAAAAAAAAAAAAAAAAAAAAAAGACACAAAAAAAACCACCCCGGGGCCCCGCCGAAGCCGGTGCCAAAATCTCGCCTTTTGCCACCAAAACGCTGCGGGCGGCGCTTCCCCGCCGGGCCGCTCCTTGGCCCCCCTATTTCCCCCCGGCCCCGGGGGCCCCCCCCCCCGCTCCGCCGCTCCTTAAATGCCCCTAATGACTCCGATAAGGTGCCGGGGAGGAAATTAGGGGCCAGGATGGGAAGGGGAAAATGACTTACGACCCGTAATGCTTTCACTACATCAACGTCACGGGCGGCAGCGCGGGCAGCAGAAGTTGTGCCGAGGCCAGAAGGAAAAAAGAGGGGACCCCCCCGGACACCCCCAGCCCCATTCCCCCCCCCCCGGCCTGGCAGCCCCCGGCTCCCCCGGGCCTGGCAGCCACAGCCACAGCCACCGTGTGCGGCTTTTGGTTTTCTCCTTTTTGTTTTCTTTCTTTTTCTTTTTATTTTTTTCTTCGAGGAAATCGTTTTCTGCATTTTTTCGTTTCCCGGAAAAAAAAATAAAAATAAAAATTAAGATAAATAAAAAGAATAAAAAGGGGAAAAACAAAAATAAAATAAAACATCGGCCGGGGAAAAGCGCTGCGCGCAGGGGAAGGAAGCCGGAGCTGTGCGAAGCGGCGGCTCCGAGCTGGAAAAATTAAAATAAAATACAACGGGGGGGTGGTAGGGGGGTGCAGGATGGTCCCGAGCTCCCGGCCCCGGGGTCCTTTCGGGCCCCGCCGCCGCCCCCCGGTTTGCTCCCGGTGCTCCCCGCTACCCGGAGCGCCCGGCCCGGTGCCCTCCGGCCGCGATGTGCGGGGATGGGGGGGGGGGACATGAAATCCCCCCCTGCTGGGCTGGGAGGAGCGACCCCCCCCCTTCATCCCCTACCCTTTTGGAGAGGGGGCGACCCCTGTGTCCTCTAGGAGAGGACCCCAAACCCGAGCTCCCCGGGGAAATGGGGTTGTGGGGTACGAAGCATTCCATGCCGTGCCGTGTGCGTTCCCCAAAATCGTGCCTCTCACCTCTCTTTTTCTTTTTTAATCCCCCCCCCCCCCAGGAGGTTTGGTACCAAATGCGCCGGCTGCTCCCAAGGCATCTCCCCCAGCGACCTGGTCCGGAAAGCGCGGAACAAAGTGTTCCACCTGAACTGTTTCACCTGCATGGTCTGCAACAAGCAGCTCTCCACGGGCGAGGAACTCTATATCATAGACGAGAACAAATTTGTTTGCAAAGAGGATTATTTGAACTCCCCCACCCTGAAGGAAGGCAGCCTCAACTCAGGTACGCGCCGCGTGGCCTCGGGGACACCGAGGGGGACGCATCCCACACCGGTGCCCACCCTGGTGCCGGGGGTTTTTCTTTCTGGCCCCGCGTTCCCCCCGTGGAGCAGGGTTGGGATGGGGGCCAGACGCCTTCTAAGCCCCCGTCGCTCCCCACGGATGCTCGTGGTGCCCCCCCGTGCACGCCCACCTCCCCGCTTTACACCAAGCCCCCCCCCCAACACCCCACCGCGAGTGTGCCCGGTGCCCCCCACGCCGCGGGCCTGATCCTTCGCCTCCTTTCACCCAGAGGCAAAGCTCCCATTTGACTTCCTTGGAAGCTGTCTCTGCGGCAGGACGGCAGGATCAGGCCCGCTCGTGCTGTCCCAGCAATGCCAGCCGCCCGTGCTCACCCCCTTCCGTGGGCTCTCTCTCCGTCCAGCACCCGGGGCCGGATCCTGCCACGCCAGTCAGTGGGGCCGCTGCTGCGAGCGAGGCGAGTAGAGCTTGGCCTGGGGGGGTGCTGGCATCAGGGACCCCGGGGGGGGCAGTGAGGGGGCGGCTGGGGGGGGAGGGGTGTGAGCCAGGCTCAAGGCAGTGACTGGACCCCCCCCAAAATCCCCCCCCGACCCTCGCATTTCTCCCAGCGGCGCATCCCCGGTGCGAGCGGCACGGTGGGGGGGAGAGGGGGAGCGCCGGGGGCTGTGGTGTGCTCGGGAGGGGGCCGCCCCCTCCCCAAAAAGCCCCCCCCCCCCCCGGCTGCTGAACCCCCAAGCAATTTGTGGGGGGGAACTTTATAGGGTCACCAGCTCAGATGCCGGCGTGCGGGGCCGGGCCGGGCAATGCTTGCCACGAGCTCCGTGCATTGTTTAGGGAGGGGGGCAAAGGCGATCCGCACCCCCAGCACCCCCAAAAATCCCCCTCCCCATTTCCTGCAAGCATCCGGGCTCGGTGGGAAGGGGAGGGCAGAGGAGAAGGGGGTCGCTCTCTCTCCTAAGCCATCCGCCCCCCCCCCCCTTTCCTCTCTGGGTCTCCTTTACAGTGTCCTCATGTACAGACAGGAGTTTGTCCCCGGATCTCCAGGACCCCATGCAGGACGACCCCAAGGAGACGGACAACTCCACCTCGTCGGACAAGGAGACCACCAACAACGAGAACGAGGAGCAGAACTCGGGCACCAAGCGCCGGGGGCCCCGCACCACCATTAAGGCCAAGCAGCTGGAGACCCTCAAAGCCGCCTTCGCCGCCACCCCAAAGCCCACCCGGCACATCCGCGAGCAGCTGGCGCAGGAGACCGGCCTCAACATGAGAGTCATCCAGGTGAGCCCCCCCCCGTGTGACGTCACGGGATGGACGGTGACGTCATCACCTCGACGGTGACGTCAGGGTGGGGGTGGTGATGTCCTCCCCCCGGGGGCCGGGGCAATTTGGGATGGGGACGGAGCGCCGGTGGGACCCGCGGTGCCGAGTGTTGGCCACCGGTGAGGGCAGAAGGCGCTGCCCCCAGGGGGGCAAAGAGAGGCCGATGGTCCCTGCCCGGCACGTCCCTGCTGCTCTTCCCCACCCCAAAAAAAAAAACCATAAAAATCCCAGTGGAAATATAGGGATTAACGAGTTTAATAGGGCTAATAGGGGAGGGCGCTCCCGCCGCGCTGGTGCCGTCCTCGCTCTGCGCACAGGGCAGCGGGGTTGGTGGGGGGACGTGCGTGCCCCACGTGTGCGGGCCCTCGGGTGCAGGAGGGGGGCAATAATTCAGCCCCCCCCCCAGCCAGGAGTAGATTTGGTTCAGGTGAGGGAATACCCCAAAAGAAGGCACCCACCTCGTCCCTTTTATCCCCATCCATCCCGGGGAAATCCCTCCCCAGGCGGTGACAACATTTTCACCCCTTTCCCCATCCACCCCTGGCTGATTTATTTTGGAGAGGGGGTTATCCCGGAGGATTTGGGGGGGCGTGCAGGGGGGGGGGTCCTTAGGGGGTCCTGACGTTGGCCCCCCCGCCGCAGGTCTGGTTCCAGAACCGCCGGTCCAAGGAGCGCCGGATGAAGCAGCTGAGCGCGCTGGGTGCCCGCCGGCACGCCTTCTTCCGCAGCCCCCGCAGGATGCGGCCCCTGGGCGGCCGCCTCGACGAGTCCGAGATGCTCGGCTCGACGCCCTACACGTACTACGGAGGTGAGGGACCCGGGAACCCCTTCCCCATCCCTCTTCCCTTTTCCTTTCCCCCTCGCCATCCCCTTTGTCCCTCTCCTCCCCGATCCCCGTGCCGCTGCCAGGCTCAGGGTGGTGGTGACGGTGACGGTGGCGGTGGCAGTGGTGGCAGCGGTGGCGGCGCGGCCCCTCTCCGGCGAACAAAGCCCCAGCTGCGGGCTTTTGTGCCCCTTTCAGGCCGCATTTGTTCCCATTACCTCCCGGGCCCGCAGCATATGGAAGGTCACCGCCGCCCCCAACGCCCCCCGACGCCCCGCCGGGACGGGACGGGCAGCGGGGAGCCCCCACGGCTTTTGGGGCAACATCTCCTAATTTTGGACAAAACGCCCCCACCACCTCCCCTACACCCCTACTGCTGCCAGGGCCCCGGTGCTGCATCTCCAAAGCTCCCCCGAGCCCAGGGGCTTTGGGGGCACCCCTTGAGGTTGGGGTCTCGAGCCCTTCCAGGCTGATAAATGGGAACATGTTCCCCATTATGTATATATGCATCATATATTTATATGTATTTATATATACATACATTTTATATATATATTTGTGTGTTTTATATATCCATATGTGTTAAATACATATTTTATATATTTTTTTAATATATATATTCCCCCCCATATATTATCTATTCCCCATTTATCTATTCCCCCTATCTATCTCCCCATTACATATACACACATTTCCCCCACTCCTTTTATTTATTTATATATGTGTGTATATATATAAATATATATAAAATATAAATATTTCTACACCTGTAAATACTTTTCCCCATTAAATAATGGGATCACGCCCACCTCACCCCAGTTACCCCAGCTCCTCGCCCTCCCCTTCCCCTATTTCCTCCCCTTCCCACCCCAAAAATGCCACGGTGTTAGGATGGGGGGGTTATCGGGGGGGGTCTTTTTACCTCCACGAGGTGCTGAGCGCCCCAAAAGCGCCGTTTTGGGGTGTGGGGGCTGTGATGGGGTCATGCCCATGGTGGTGCGGGGGGCTCGGGGTGACGGCACCGGGGGCCGGCTCCAACCTTTCCCCCCCCCATTGCAGATTACCAAGGTGACTACTACGGGCCGGGAGGCAATTATGACTTTTTCCCCCACGGGCCCCCCTCCCAGGCCCAGTCCCCGGCCGACCCCAGCTACCTTCAGAACTCAGGACCCGGCTCCACGCCCCTGGGACCCTTGGAGCCCCCCCTAAGCGGACACCACTCCTCAGAAAACCAAAGGTACACGGATATGATCTCGCACCCCGACACCCCCAGCCCCGAGCCGGGGATGACGGGCTCGCTGCACCCCATCCCGGGGGAGGTCTTCAGCGGGGGGCCGAGCCCCCCCTTCTCCATGTCCAGCAATAGCGGCTACAGCGGGGCGCTCGCGCACCCCAACCCGGAGCTGAGCGAGGCGGCGGTGTGGTAGAGCCGGGGGGGGGACGCGCCTCTTCCCCACCCCCCCCCCCAAAAAATCCCCACCCCACACCTCCCTCCAGCCCCCCCTGGGGCACACCGGCTGACGGACACCCCCCCCTTTCCCCGAAATAAAACCACAACCCCGATGCCACGGCCGCCCTCCGATGCCAAAACGCATCCTCCCCGGCACCGCAGCCCCATCCCGATGCTGGGGGCACCCCGCTACCTCCCCCTCCCCACACTGTGCCCCCTCTTTTATTGGGGTGGGGGCAACACAACGTGCCCCGAGACCCCCCCTTTGTGCCCCCCGCCGGCGTCGGGACCACCACCTCTCGGACCAAAGCTGAACTCGCCTGGACACGGGTCCCACCGGTGCCGGGGGGCTGCTGCGGGGCTCCCCCCCCCCCCAGTGCTAATTAGCCTCTTTTTAATGATCCCCATCCTTCGTCCCGATATAACGGGGCCGGGGGGGGGACACGGGGAATAGCAGCCCCCCCCTCAGCCCCTCGCTTTCGTTGTTCCCCCGTTTTGTTCCCCAGGAGGAGGTGGGTTGGGACCCGCTGGGTGGTTTTTTTTTTTGGTGAGGCCGCGGGGAGGGGGGGACGGGAGGCCGGGCAGGGGGCTCCCCGAGCATCCCGCTGAGCTCGGCCTCCTAAATTTTAGGGGAAGAAGGGGTGGGGGGGGAGGCGAAGAAGCGCCCGGGACCGGAAAGAGGCAGAAAAAAATAATAAAAAATAATAAAAAAAAGGAGACAAACAAAGAAACGCGGCACAAAACCGGCGCGCGGCGCAAACGAAGGCCGAGCCTCCGCCGAGCCCAGCGCGTCCCGGCGGCCCCGCGGGTCCGAGGATGTATTATAGTTTTTGCTTCTAGTTTCTTTATTTTGTATAAAGGAGAAACAAATAAAGTATGTTTTTGTGTTTACTGATTATTTATTGTACTTGCAGTCAGCGGAGGCTCCGAGTTTTTTTCTGGTTTCGGAGGCTGGGGATGGGGTGGTGCTGGGGGAGGGGGGGGGAGAGGAGGATGAAGGTGGGGGGAAAAAAATAGGAAAAAGGAAGGAGAATGGGAAAGAAAGATGAGAAAAGTTGTTTTCTGAAGGCACCGCGGGTTTCCTGTCCCCGCTGCCTCTCGTGGAGGCCGCTGGTGTGAGTGCCTGGCGTTGTTCGGTGTGGATAAAAAACCCCTGAGCTACCTGCTCCCGCCCCCAACCCCCTTCATCGGGGGGCTGCAAGGAGAAGCAGACACCCCCGTGCCCCCCAGCACACGAAGCGGCCCCAAACTAATATTTAAAATGCAAAATCGTGGCCGAGGTCCGGCCTCCCCCCCCTCGCCTTGCAGTAAAAAGATACAAACCGAATAAATTACCTTCCCGCGCCGGCTTCCCAGAGCCCCTCTCGCTGACCTGAATTTTAAGTCCCGCTGCTGATTTATGGCCAGCCAGCCGCTCCGCTGCCTCTTTTTATTTTTGTATTTTTATTTTTTTTCTCCCCCCGTTCAGCCAAGTGGAGGAATTTTTCCTTCTCGTGCCACCACGGGAGGGGACGCCGAGAAAAGCGCGCGGCGCACGGGGAAACTGAGGCACGAGCGCAGGCGGTGGGGACAGGAGAGGTGCGGCCCCTGCGGGTGGCACCGCGTCCCGGTGACCTCTGCCCGGCCTCGTTATGGGGATTAAAGCACAAGGGCGCGTGCCGCCTGCTCGTTATTATCAGCGTGCTGCTGTCATTAGCCTTACGCTAATTATCACGCCCCAGCCGCGTGGCCGAGGGTGGTTTGCGGGGTGCTGGGGCACCCCTGGGATTTGGGATGCTGGCGGGGGCTCCGTGCGAGGAGGTTGAGGTGGGAAAGGTGGAAAGTAATCGGGGCCGGGACCCGGGATAAAAAATGGCAGGGGGAGGGCGGGCTGACTCCCGATAATTAATAGTGCGCCTCGTAATAGGATTCTCCAGCCTTCGGTGCTCCCTGGAAACACCTTTTTACATAAGCTACTGCCCACGATGGAGCAGCAGGACTTTGATTTATGGGGTTCGGTCCTCCAGGAGGCATTGCGGGGGCTGGCCGGGCCGGGGGGATTTATTGGGGAAAAGGGAAAAAGGGAAAGAAGGGAGGAGAAGGCTTCAGGGCAGGCAGGCGGGCGAGGGGAAGGGGCTTCGGTGGCTGCTCCGGGGGGAGGTTGAGGAGGGTTTCGGGGCTGGAAAGGGCAAAACGGGCACTGGGGCTAAATGGATCAACTGGTGGGAGCTGGGGGGCAGTTGGGGTTGGGGGCCCTGGTGGGAGAGAGACCCCAAATCAGGGGATGGGGGGGGAACACGGGGAATGGACACATGGCTGGGGACCCCCCCAATAAATCCCCGTAAGCAGCAGGTCTGCGCACGCTGTTCCCTTCTGACAGCACAGGAGGGACGGGCGAGGGTTGTAATAATTAATAATCATTAGAATAATAACGCATCGAGACAGTGCCAAAGTAATTAGCCAGAGCGGGAGCGCTCACTGATTGAGGCTCCAGCCGTGGCGTCCTCGGGGATGTGCCTCAGTTTCCCCACCCCACTCAGCACCTTTGGGGTGATGTGGGGAAGGGGGGGGACAACCGGGGGGGGTCACTCCAGCCCCAGCTGGCTCTTCAGGCCCCGCAGCTGTGCCGCCGTGATGCTGCTGCCGCCGCAGACCACCAGCACCACGCTGCCCAGGGGGGACCCCAGGCGCCCCTCGCGCTGCAGCCGCTGCAGCCGCCCCGAGTAGAGCACGGCCAGCGCCGCCCCGCACGCCGGCTGCACCAGCATCCTCTCGTCATCTGTAGGGACAAGGACATCCTGAGAGCCTGGCCCCGTTGTTGGACACCCCCTTTGGTGTCCCCGTCCCCTGTTACTCACCCAGGAACTGCTCCACGGCGCGCACGGCCTCGGCATCCTCCACCACCTGGGAGAGGACCCGGCTCTCCTGCGCGCACTGCAGCGCCCGCGCCGACACCGTCTTCGCCCCCAGGCACTTGGCCACGCTGGGGAAATGGGGTCAGGGTGGCCCTGGGATGTGCCATCCCCTCGGGGACCCACCGTAGGGGTGGCAGAGCTGGGACCGGCCAGCTCACGACACCCACGGCCCAGTGCCACGTGCCGAGGACGCAGAGCCCCCCAGCACCTTCCAAGGGGGGGGTCCGTGGTGACGTTGGGGACCTCCTGCTGATGGAAAGGTGTCCCCAGAGCTCACCTGGTGATGTCGGGCAGGGTGACGAGGTGGCCGGCCTCCAGCGCCGCGTGGAAGCTGTGCGCCCCCCAGGTCTCGGCGGCGATGATGGGGACGTCGGGCCACCCCACCTGCTGCAGCCCGGCCACCACGCCGGCCAGCAGCCCCCCGCCGCCCACCGCCAGCACGATGGCATCAGGCTTGGCCTCCAGAGAGTCCTTCAGCTCCTGGACCAGGCTGGCGTGTCCCTGCCTGGGGGATTTTGGTGGCCGTGGGCACCCCAAACCCACCCGAACCTTGGGGACGGGGATGCGGGGTGTGGAGCTGAGCCCCAAAGGCACTCACCACACCAAGGGGTGGTCGAAGGGGTGGACGCTGACCCAGCCGGGGGTGTCAGGCCAGCTGCAGGGCTCTGCGGTTGGCTTCATCCCACACCTGGGGGGCACAAGGCGGGCTCAGCGGGGCCGCATCCAGCCCTGGGGCCCCGGCGATGTGCCCCTTATCACCGTGGAGATACCCAAAACCCAATGCAGGAGGGAGCGTTTTTGGGGTCCGTGCTCATCCACAGGCACCGAGGTCCCCCCCCAAGCCCCAATTTGGGGGGTGGGCACCCTACCTTGCCGCAGACCTCCACCGTCGCCCCCAGCTCCTGCAGCCTGTGCACGGTGCCGGGGCCGGTGCTGCTGGGCACCACCACGGTGGCCGGCAGCCCCAGCTTCCTGGCTGCGTACGCCGCGGCCATGCCCGCGTTGCCCCCTGCCAAAAAAAACAGGGGGGGGCTTTCATTTGAGGGGTTCCACCCCCCCCCCCCGTGTGCCCCACTCCCCTCCTCCAGGGTCAGAGCTCCTCCAGCCCCCCAGGGTGATCCATGCAGGGGGGCGCATGGTTTCTCCCCCATGCGGCACCCCACTGGGAGCAACCCCAAAATTGGGGGAGAGTGGGGCACGAGGATGAGGGGCTGGGAAGCAGGGGGTGTCCCCCATGCTCCCTCCCCCCCAAAAAAAATTACCTGAGGAGCACACGAAGTGCTGGCAGCCCTTCTTGGCAGCCTGGAAAACAGGAGGAAGAAGAGGAAAGGACAGAGCCATGTGTCCCCAAAACTGAGGACTGCACCGGGTGCCCCCATTACACCCCCCCACGGCCCCCCCCCGCCACGCTCACCTCCTGGCAGAAGTGCCCGATGCCCCGGATCTTGAAGGAGCCGGTGGGCTGCACGTTCTCCAGCTTCATGTAGACCTTGGTCCCCGCCACACGGGACAGGGGCAGGCTCTCCAGGAGCGGGGACACGAGGTGGAAGGGCCTCTCGGCCTCCATGGCTGCGCTCTGACAGGTTTTGGGGTCACCGCTGGTGTCCCCAAACCCCCCCCAAAACCCACAGAAAGCAGCTGGGGATTGGGAGAACCGCAGGTGGGCTTGGTCCCCAGGGGTACCTGGTGCCCACGGAGTCTTGCCGTGTGTCCCCACGCCTCCTGCCCCGCTCCCAGAGCGACGTCTGGGGAGGGAAGGCGGCGAGGTGACGTCGGAGGGGCCGTGCCGGTGGCCGCAGGCCCCGTGCCAGCACGCCGAGCTCAGGCCTGGCCAGAAATGTGCTTCCCCAGCAGATTTCAGGACTCTGCCTCCTTCGGCTGATTGTGGCCAACTCCCTCCCCCCCCATAAAAAAAAACAAAAAAAAACAAAAAAAAACAAGTAGCTGTGCCACGGTTTGTTGGCACCGCAGCCCCTCTCCCTTGGCAATTGGCACAAACACCCAAAATTTTGGCAAGATCCTCCTGGTCCTTTGTCCTGGAGGAGGAGGAAGAGGAGGGTGAGGGTTGGAGGAAGGTCAGTGGGGCTCCCACCCCTCCATTTCTCCACCCCACCAGCTGGAAGGCTTGGAGGTACCACCGGGGACACAGAGCAGGGACAGCCACGTCCCCATGGAGCTGTCGGTGGCAACGAGGGCTCATGCCGTCAGTAGGCTTCAGAGTGAACAGCCCACACAGCGGGCACCTGACACCGAGCTGTGCCCCCCTCGCGACACCGGGGACTGGAAAAGGGGTGGTGACAGTGACACTTTGTGCTCACCCTCTCTGGGGGTGATGGGGGGGGGCCCAGCCTGGTCCGGGGAGGCCTCGGAACGGGGGCCAGGGCGGCCTCGGTGGGAACCTCGCTCCTTCAAAGCGCTGCCGAACGCCAGCTCATTAATCCCCCGGTAATGACCTTGTTATTCCTAACGAGCCGCGCTGCGGCGGAGAGGATCAAGGGGGCTGCAGTAAGAGGATTTCAGGATGTGGGTTTTGGGGCTGGGGGGGCAGACACAGGTGGCAGAGGAGGGGGAACAAAGGGGACAAGGACGGGCACCCCGTCCTGGGGGTGAGTGGTGCTCCCCGCTCCATCGCTGCTCTCCCCTTTAAGCTCTTGAGAACCAACTCCAGACACCCGAAATAACCCCAAGGGGTCAGCACCAGAGCACAGTATGGAGCAGAGGCAAGGAAACCCAGCCAGCCAGCACCCCGGAGACAGGAGCACCCCATTAACCACCTCCCTTTTTGCAGGAGAGGCCGTCAGTGTGAGCCCAACCCCGATACGAGGCACCAGAGAGTCTCGGCGCAGCACAAAGCACGGCTCCACCGCACGCAGACCACTTTATTTATCGAACCCAAACCCGGTCACTCACCTCCTCTTTTGCCACGGGGCTGTCCTGGTGCCTGCCCCAGCCTCCCAGCACCCCCCTTTATGGGAAGGGCCCCCCAGAGCGAGAGCAGCCCCCCCAGGGAAGCACCCCACGGGGCACAGCGCTCATTTTTGGGGTTGGGGACAGAGCCCTCTGATCCTGGGCACGGCGGCACAGCGGGGGCACAGCCCCATACGCAGCGTGGGGCACCCCACGGGACGGCAATGAGCAGCGAGAGAAGCAGGGGGAGAAAAATATAGGGGACAGGGGACAGGGCAGAGCCGGTCCCCCCCCCATGCGCCCCCCAAAGCCAGCCCTAGTGAGAAGGAAGAGCCAGCAGCTGATGCGCCGCGGAGTTTGCCCCCCCAAAAAAAGGCTCTGGACAGACGGACGCGGATGGACGAGCGGCCACCACGTGCCGGGGTCGCTCTGGGCTCAGTCCCAGCGGACCTTGACGGGGGGGAACTTCCAGAGGTCGGGGTGCCCCATGTGCAGCAGGTGGCTGCAGGGGGACGTGCTCCAGCGGAAGGGGGGCACGTCGTCCCACGCCGGGCCGCTGGCGGCCACCAGCCCGAAGGTGGAGGCCATGCCGAAGGAGGTGACCTGGTGCCAGGAGGGGAAAAAAGGAGAAATAAGAGGGTTGCGTGGGGTCCCGGGGGGATTTAGGGAGGGATCGGGGGCAGTCCCCACCTTCATGTCGGTGCCGCCGTGGCAGCGCTGGCGCAGGGCGGCGAAGGGGTAGGTGCCGTTGGAGGGGTTGAGGTCGGAGCGGGCGGAGATGGCGTTCTCGGCGTTCTGGGGGGGGTCACAGCCCCGGCACCGTGACAGTGGGTCCTGCAGGTAGTTGTTGGACCTGGAAAGGGGGGGAAATTAAATAATTAGATCACTGAGAGCACGGCCGCAAAGGCTGGGGGTCCGCGGGGAGGCGGAGGCGACACCCAGGAGGGGGTTTTTGGGGGCGGGGGGCAGCCCCCACCTCATCAGGCGGACCATGGAGTCCACGTCGTGGACCTGCGAGTGGTTCCTGCGGAAGATTTGGGCGCGCGGGTTCTTGTCGTAGGTGAACCAGTCGCCGTACTGCTTCACCAGCTCCAGGTTCCCGCTGGCGTTGAAGATCTCCTCGAAGTACCTGGGGGGTGGGGAGGCAGCGGGTGAGGGCGGCACCAACAGCCCCCCCTTTTTTATTATTAAATGGCATCAGTGGGACACCGATCGGGGTGGAGACGAGCAGAGACGAGGCTGGAGGGAGCTTACGGCACATTGTAGCTGGCCCAGTATCCCTGCTGGTACAGCACCTCTGTCTTATCAGCCACCATCACCAAGCCCCTGCGGCAGGAGGAAGGACACCGGTCAGAGCAGAAGGCAAAATAAAAGGGGGACGGGAGGGACAGACCCACCTGGGGGTCCCCACCCCATCCGGGGGCCGTCACCTGCATGCAGAGAGCCACCAGCTGTCACACCCGTGCCAGAAGGGCCACCGCAGTGGGAGGCAGCGTGCCACCGAGCCCGCGTTTCGCACCCAGGCCATCAAACAAATCCCACCTGGGCCACGCTGGGACAGCCCGCAGGCTGTACAGCCAGGATTTTAGGGCTCCGAGGGGCCAAGCTGGCTTTTGGGGAGGGCGAGGGGCACTCACGGGATCTGCTCCAGCACCGTCAGCACGCCTGGCTGGGGGCCAGCCTTCCCCGGGGAGAAGGCTTTGTAATCCACCACCATCCACTGGTTGTTGTACCTGCACGGGGAGGTGACCGCGTCCCTCGGGGTCACCCAGAGCGCGCCCCGGGGGTGTCCCCATGGGGTGTCCCCCCTCCGTGCTCACGTGCCGCTGTTGAACTGGGTGAAGATGGTGGCCCACTCGGCGCCGCTGCGGGCCAGCCGGTTGGCCACGATGTTCCTCAGCCACTCCAGGACGCTGCCCTGCGGCCGCAGGTACTTCCAGAGCGCCGCGTTGCTGTTGCCGATGGTGGTCTCCAGAGCTACCTGCGGGGAGGGGAAGGGGGAAACTGGGGGGTGAGCTGGGTTGGGGGGTGCCACCGGGGGGTCCCGCAGGAGCCAGGTGCCACCCACCAGCCCACTGCTCAGGATGTAGAAGTCGTCTCCGGAGAAGATGGTGCCGGGGTAGGAGGAAAACACTTGGATGCTCCCCGGGATCTGAGCAGAGCCTGGAGAGGGGGGCGAGAACGGGGTCGGGGGAGTCAGGATTTGGGGAGAAAGGGGGGAAAAGGTGTGCCCCCTCCCCATCCTGCCCACATACCACCAGGCGCCACGCGGAAGGGCAGCGTGTACTTCTTGACGATGCGCAGCATGGTCTGGTAGGGGGCCCAGGTGTCGTGGGCCACCAGCAGGTCCCGCTGGCCCGGCAGCAGCTTGAGAAGCGCCGAGCAGGAGCCGGAGCCCAGCGGGCGCCGCGGGGCCGATCTGTTCAGGGCCTGCTCCAGGTCCTCCAGGTCCCCCCCCAGCTGCAGGAGGCTGCGGGGAGGCGAGGAGGCGGCGTGGGGCACCCCACGTGGGGAACCCAGCCCCAAGACGTCCCCCGGCAGCCCCCAGCCCCGATTTTTTGGGGGACAGAGCTCACAGGAAGCCAAAAGGCGACAGGGAGAGGCTGCCGGTGGGGAAGGCCACGCGCCCGTTGTAGCTGTCCTCCAGGCCCTTCAGCTGCAGCAGCGCCAGGCGCACCTGTGGGAACGAGGAAAAATGAACCAAAACCCAACATTCTGCACCCAAACTGGTGGTGGGGACACCGAGGGGCACGGCCTCACCTGGTGCCAGTACTCGGGGTGCTGGCCGGACGCCATCTGCTCCTCCATCCAGGCCAGGTTGGCCTGCAGGTAGCCGCGGAGCTTCTCGCAGTAGGGGGTCTGGTAGCCGAAGGGCCCGCAGTAGCCCACCACCGTGTTCATCCAGTGCATGTAGATGAGCTGCGGGGCACGGCGCTGGCAGTGGGACTGGGGACAGGGGGGGTCCTGTCCACCGCCCCCCCCCCCCCCCTGCCACCACCGCCACCCCCCCCGGTACCTGCTCGGTGACGGCGGCCTCGGCCAGCCCCGCGGCATAGGCCTGCAGGCTGTCATTGAACGAGGCGTTGGTGGCCAGCTCCAGGAAGGCCCAGCTGTGACAGCAGGGGGGGGATGGCTGGGAACGGTTCTCCCCGGGACCCCCCCGGTTCTCCCCGGGACCCCCCCAGTTCTCCCCAGGACCCCCCCAGTTCTCCTCCAGGTCCCTCCCAGTTCTCCCCAGGTCCCCCCTGTTCTCCACCAGTTCCCCCCAAGCTCTCCCCACGTCCCCCCAGTTCTCCCCCCTATTCTGACCCAGTCCCCCCTGGTTCTCCTCCCCAGTATCCCCCCCAGCCCTCCCAGTCCTCTCCCTGGTTCTGCTCAGGATCCCCTTGCTTCACCCCCAGTTTCCCCCCAGCTCTCCCCAAGGTCCCCAAGTTTCCCTCCCCAGTTCTCCCCTGGGTCCCCCCACTTCTCCCCAGCCCCCCCAGTCCTCTGAGCCCCCCCATTTCTCCCCATGTCCCACCCCACGTACCCCCTACCTCTCCCCCTTGACTCCCCCTATTCTGGGACTCCCTTACTCCCCCCAATTCCCCCCCAGCTCCCCCCTAGCTCCCTCCCATTCCCTCCCCAGCCCCCAATGCCTCCCAACGCCCCCCCCCCAGTTCTCCTGCTGCCCCCCAGCCCCCCCCCACCCCATCCCCACCCCACAGCCCGGCTGTGGTCGGTGAGCGCTGCCCAGGCGATGGCGTTGGGGTGGCGGCCGGGCAGGACCCGCAGCCGCCCGGAGCCGGGCTCCAGCAGCACGGAGGCGCCGCGGGCCGGGGGGGGCGGGACGGCGGCGGCGACCCCGACCCCAAACCCGACCCCAAGCCCGGGCAGGGCCAGGAGCAGCGCGGCCACCACCGCCCGCGGAGCCGCCATGGCTGGGGGGGGGGGCGTGGGTTTGGGGGTGGGTTTGGGGGTGGGGGGGGTCGGAGTGGGAGGGGTTTAGGGGAAGTGGGAGGGGTTTAGGGAAAAGGTGCGCCCCCTCTGGGGGGGCTCCGGGGGGGGTCGGGGGGGATGCGCCCTAAGGGAGGGCTGTGGGTGGTTGTGTTATATGGGCAGCCTGCCCTATAGGAACCCCGTGGGTACACATAGGAACCCCATGGGCACCCCGCAGGCACCCCAAAGGATCCCCTATGGCATGGCACCCCAGCCCTATAGGTGCCCTGTGGGCTCCTGCACCCCGTGGTACCCCTTTCCCATAGGCGCCCCTACCCCAAAAACACCCCTGCCCTATAGACAATGCCGTGGGCACCCTGCAGGCACCTCTGCCCCGTGGACACCCTAGGGGGACCCCTATCCATTGGCATCCCTACCCCATGGGCACCCCTACCCCACAGACACCCCATGGGCACCCCCGCCCTGTGTGACACCCTTACCCCATAGGCACCCCAGCCCCGTAGGCACCCCATGGGCACCCCACAGACACCCCTACCCCACGGGCACCCCATGCGGCACCCCTGCCCTATGGGAACCCCAGCCCCTTAGGCACCCCTATCCTATAGACACCCCATGGGCACCCTTACCCCATGACACCCCTACCCCATAGGCACCCCATGGGCACCCCATAGCCACCCCTAACCCCCGGGGGGGGTGACAGGGGCGCAGCACCCCGGCCTTATGCAATCCCCGCCTGTTTACTGCTGCACCCAGCGGGCAAAGTCCCCGGGAGGCTCCTACCGGGGAGGGGGGGGGCTGACACCCAAGCCTGACCCCCCTCAATATGGGGCACGGAGCCCCCAGCCCCTATCCCCGCTGTGTCCCCACGTCCCCCCCTCGTGTCCCCCCCCGTGCCCAAAGCTCCGCTGCGCCTTTAAGGGCGGATGGGGGCGGCCCCTTTAGGGCGGGGGGGGGGCAGCAGCCGCCCGCGCACAGCGCCGGGGCCGCGCCGGCACGGTGGGTCCGGGGGGGGGGGTCCCGGGGGGGTCCCCTTGTCCCCATATCCCCATATCCCCATATCCCTATATCCCCGTGTCCCCAACCCGTCCCCAGCCCCGACCCCATCGCGGCCCCATTGGGACCCCCCCCACCCCGGCTTGGGGTCCCCGGTCGCGGTGCAGGGGGGGGGGGCGGTGTGGGGGGGTCTCCCCGTGCCCCCCCCTTACCCCCGGGTCCCCTCGCAGGGAGCCGGGCACGGGGCTGGCGGCCTCCCCTCGCTCCTAGCCCTGTTCTGCTGCCCTGTGCCTGGTTTTACCCCTATTTTAACCCCAATATCCCCATTTTTACCCTTATATCCCTATTTTTTACCCCTATGTCCCTATTTTAACCCCTAAATCCCTATTTCTTATCCCTATATTCCTGTTTTTATCCCTATTTCCCTGTTTTTGCCCCTCTACCCCTACTTTTATCCCTATCTTTTATCCCGGTACCCCTACTTCTATCCCTGTACCCCTATTCTTACCCCCATACCCTTACTTTTATCCCTATAGCCCTAATTTATCCCAATATTCCTGTTTTTTATCCCTAGCTTTTAGTCCTGTACCCTACTTTTATCCCTGTACCCCTAGCCTTACCCCTATACCCTTACTTTTAAACCTATACCCCTATTTTTTATCCTTATCTCTTATCCCTGCACCGTTTTTATCCCTATACTCCTATTTTGTGTCCCTTTTATCCCTATAACCCTACTTTTATTCCTATAACCCTCCTTTTATCGATATATCCCTATTTTATCCCTATATTTCTATTTTTATCCCTTTTGATCCCTACACCCCTACTTGTATCCCTATACCCCAACTCTTATCCCTATACCCCTACTTTTTTTCCCCTATATTCCTATTTTTTACCCCTACTTTCACCCCCTATACCCCAATTCTAACCCCTATACCCACTTCTCCCATCCCCACCTCCCCCCATGGCCCCCCCCCACCCCGCTCAGCCCCTGCCCCCCCTCCCCAAGCCCTAGGTGCCCCCACCCTCTCCCCCCAGCCCCATAGGGTGCCATGGGGACACTGTGGGTGCTGAGCCTGGCCGGGGCGCTGAGCCTGGCCGGGGCGCTGGCGGGTGACAGCGGGACACCACGAGCGGTGACACCGGCGGCGCTGGACACGGGGAGCACCAGGGAGGACCCCATGGGACACGGACAGGGCCTGGACGTGAGTAGGGGCATGAAGGGGGGCGAGGAGGGAGATTTGGGTGCGGGGGGGGTCCTGTCCTTACACCCCTCATCCGCTGTGTTATATGGGGAAACTGAGGCAGGGAGGGGATGCGGTACAGCAGCGCGGTGTCACCCACGGGGTGGGTGCTGCCTCTGGGGGGGGGACACACACGGCCGGGGACCCCCGTGTGAGCCCCCCCGGCCCTGCCCCGCAGTGCAGGGAGGTGAGGAAGCACAACAGCTCCGAGTGGTGCCGCTTCGTGCGGGGCAACCCCGACTGCCAGCTGGAGGGCGGCTTCCTCGACTACCTCGGCGGCGTCTTCTGCGTCTTCCCCCCGGGGCTGCTGCCGCTGGCCAGTCACCCTCTACGTAAGGACAGGGACCTGGGGGGGCCGTGGGCTGTGCCCCCCATGCCTTGAGGCTGAGCCCTGTCCCCCCCCCCACAGGCCCTGTGGCTCCTCTACCTCTTCGTCATCCTCGGCGTGACAGCCGAGAAGTTGTGAGTACCCCGAGGGGACGAGGGGACGCCCCCCGAGCTGTGGTGGCCTCAGGTGGTCCCATCAAACGCCCCCCTGAGACCACCACCACCGCCTCCTTTGTGCCCTCGCAGCTTCTGCCCCAACCTCTCGGCCATCTCCACCAACCTGAAGCTGTCCCACAATGTGGCAGTATCCTTGGGACGGGGACCTGGGGGGGGACACATACACACACATGGGGGGGGTCCGGGCCGTGATCCGGGGGCTGCTCCTTGACGGCTCCCCTCCATGGCGTCACCTTCCTGGCCTTCGGCAACGGGGCGCCCGACGTCTTCAGCGCCGTGGTGGCCTTCTCCGACCCACGGACAGCGGGGCTGGCTGTTGGGGCCGTCTTTGGTAAGGGTCCCCGTGATGGTGAGGGATGGTAGGGGGGGCCCGTGGGACACCCCCCAGCGCTCCCCTCACCCCGTTGTGTCGACAGGCGCCGGCATTTTTGTGACCACGGTGGTGGCCGGCGGCATCGCGCTGGTCAAGCCCTTCACGGCCGCCTCCAGGCCCTTCCTCAGGGACGCCATTTTCTACATGGTGGCCGTCTTCCTCACCTTCCTCGTCCTCTACCTGGGCCGCATCACACTGGGAGAGGCGCTGGGTGAGTGACGGCTGCTTGGGTGGCTTGAGCGTCCCCCAGGGGGGTCCATAACCCCTTCTCCTTGCCCCCCGCCAGGTTACCTGGGGCTCTACGTCTTCTACGTCTTCGCCGTGGTGCTCTGCACATGGATTCACCGCAGGCAGCGCGGGGATGGGCTGGCCCCCCCCGGACCCTGGGAGCCAGGTAAGGGCCGCCTTGTGGTGCCATCGGGACCCCCGTGTCCCCCCCTCACCACCCCCTTGCTCTTCCTCACCCCCCCCAGAGATGCCGACGGATGCTGAGGAGCGGGAGTCCTCGGGCACCAACAGTGGGGACTACGGTAGGTTGGGTTTTGGGGGCGGTTTGGGGCCATCTCTGCTAGGTCTTGGGGGGGTTCTGTGGTGTGGGGAGCCCCCCCCGGCACACTCAGTCCCCCAACCCCCGCAGGTGAGGAGTACCGGCCCCTGCTCCCCTACCACGAAACCTCCCTGCACATCCTCGCCAGCGCCCTCAGCCCCTTGGACCAGCGCAAGTGGAGGAGGAAGCCCTGGTACTGGCGGCTCTTCAAGGTCTTCAAGGTGAGGAGGACGGGGGGGACATGACGTGTGTCACCCCTGGGCTGGGACAGCGTGTTTAGGGAGAGGTCACACCCGTGGGATGCCCCACAGGTCCCTGTGGAGCTGGTGCTGCTGCTCACCGTGCCCGTGGTGGACCCTGACAAGGACGACCTGAACTGGAAGAGACCCCTCAACTGCCTGCACATCGTCACCAGCCCCCTGCTCTGCGTCCTCACCCTCAAGTCGGGTGCCTGTAAGAGCCCACGGTGATCCCAGGCTCCCCCCCGTGTCCCCCGAGGAGGGGACACGACCGAGCTGGCCACAAAGCCCCAGGCCGGGTAGCTCCATGCTCCCTGTCCCCCATGGGGTCTCCCCCAGCAGGGTGGGGTAGAGGTGGCTTTAGGGACGAGGCTCAACCCCACACCACCCGCCTGGTGGGATCCTGCCCAGCCTGTGGGGCCGCATTGACATGTTCTCTCCCCACTGCGTGCAGATGGGTTGTACCAGATCCAGGGCATCTTCCCAGTCTGGGGACTGGTCATGCTGGTTGGCTCTGTCCTGGCCATCATCATCTTCCTCACCACGACCAACGAGGAGCCACCCAAGTACCACTGCGTAAGGTGTCCCCAGCCCTGAACACACACCAGGGGCCGGAGCAGCTCTGCTGGGAGCTGGGGGACCTGAGCACCTTCCCGGTCCCTGATGTCCCCAGGAGGGACACAGCTGGCCAGAAGGGACGCACCCAGTAGCCAGCTTCCCCTCCTCCTGCCAGGTGTTTGCCTTCCTCGGCTTCTTGGCCAGCGCCATGTGGATCAACGCCGCGGCCACGGAGCTGGTGAACATCCTGCGGACCCTGGGCATCATCTTCCAGCTGAGCAACACGGTGCTGGGCCTGACGCTGCTGGCCTGGGGCAACAGCATTGGGGGTAAGGGCTCCACAGTGCCCCAGTTGTGTGGCTGGAGCTGCCGGCAGCGAACATGGCCCACTGAACCCCAGCAGGGTGCAGGTGTCCTCCAGCATCTCCCCCTTCTCCCACCAGACACCTTCTCCGACCTCACCATGGCACGGCAGGGCTACCCCCGCATGGCCTTCTCCGCCTGCTTCGGGGGCATCATCTTCAGTATCCTTCGGGCACGCGGTGCTGGGGGTTTGGGTGCTGGGGGGACAGATCGGGGCTGTGCTGGGGCCAGTCCCTGTTCCTGGGGGACCTGGAGGTGGGCAGGATCCATCCTGGGATGAGGGTCAGGGCTGGTCCCTTGGGGTCTGCTCGAGGGAAGGATGGGAAGAGGCTGTGCCTCCCTGGGGAGGCTGGGACGATGCTGAAGCCTCTTGTGCTTGAGGCTTGGGTAGCCTCAGAGGGGCTGGGAGGAAGGGGGACGGTGCTGTCCCCATCCCCGGGGCTGGAGGGGAAATTGTGCTTGCTCCTCCGTCCTGAACCAGCCCCAGACATCCTGGTGGGCGTGGGACTGGGCTGCCTGCTGCAGATGACGAGCAGCCAGCTGGTGGTGAAGGTAAGGCTGATGGGCACAGCACGGGGAGGGGACCGGCCCCGCCAGGACCCCGCTGCCACCCAGAATCTCTCCGGCAGCTGGAGCCCGACAGCCTCCTGGTCTGGATCCTGGCCGGAGCCCTGGGGCTGAGCCTGGTCTTCTCCTTCGTGGCGGTGCCGGCGCAGTGCTTCCAGCTGGGCAAGGCGTACGGCGTCTGCCTCATCCTCTACTACCTGGCCTTCCTCTGTGTGGCCCTGCTGACCTGAGTTCAGGGTGATCCGCCTGGCCACCGCCTGACCGCCCGCCCTCCCTGCCCTCGGCGCCACGGCTCCAGCCTCCGCCTGCTCGTGCGTTTTGAGAAGGGAAAAGGAGGCGCTGGGCAGCAGCCGAGTCCTCGCCCCGCTCTGGTTAACCTCGGTTAACTCTGAATAGGGACGAGGTGAAAGGCTCAGCCACCCCCGGGCACAAGGGAGCAGGGCAGCCGCAGGGGAGGTTGCTCCTGGGCACCCGCTTCCCGTCCCCGTCCCCCTCCTGGGGCTGCGTGGGGAAACTGCAAAGTAAAGGCTTGAGTGCAATTTTGGGGCTGGCTGTCGTTGCAGAGGGCAGCGAGCATTCGTAACATGGGGGGAAGAGCAAAAGAGGGGTTGAGGTGAGGCGAGGCAGCAGGGCAGAGTGCAAGCGAAGCTGGAAAGCAGCCCACAGGAGGCTGGTTTCTCCTCATTTTTTTCTTTTTTTTAGCAATGTTTTTCAACCTGCCTTTAGGAATACTTCTGCTCCTGAGAGCACAGACAGAGCTGTAGCAAAAGGACTTGGTGCAGAGGTTTCCGTGCACACTGTTAGCCTCTGGCAAAACTAGGTTTAGACACTGTAAGAGGAGAAAAAAAAAACACAAATTAATTGCAATTAAAAACCACACAACCTCAACTCGTGCTGCTTGCTGCGAGGGCGCTGGGTGCAGGGCTGGGGGTGCAGCTTCCTCCAGGGCACCCGCGCTGCATTTCCCAACGCCGGTCACATGCAGCTGCTCGTGCTGCCGGGGGCCTGCTCGTGACGGAGCTGCAGGCATGGGGCTGCGGCCGCCGGCTCTTACGCAGCTCCACGGGCTAAGGGGAGGCAGCGGTTCCACGGCCCCGGCCGTTAGGGATCACCCCACTTCTGCTCTGCGGGGACACGGGCGGTTGTGCAAGCAGCACGAGTGGCAGCCTGGGTTTGGGGCAGTTTTGAGGCGCTCCGAGCCCGCTGCTCTTCCCTTCCAGGCTGTGCTCGTTTCTCCTTTTTTTCTGGCTGGATGAGTGCTTTCACAAATATTACGGCTCCCTGCGCCTGCGGCTCTCGCAGCAGCCACCCCCGGTTTCCGGCCCAAACAGGAGGCAGCAGCCACGCAGGGAGAGGAGCGAGGGCTTCAGGAGCCTGTGCAGCTCCTCCCGGCCTCGGCTGGTGCATTAAAAAGAAAGCAAAACCAGAGCATGAAAGCAGTACCGTGACAGAGAGGGGAAAAACGGGCAGGGGGAGAGCTGAGCTCTGAGAGCAATGTCCAGGAAGAAGAATTCAGGGCAGAGCTGCAGGGCAGGGATGTGAAATATGCTCATGTCAGCAGCTGCTGCTGGAGAGGGAGGGCGGGCACAGCTCCTCTTCAAACAGCGTGGAAATCCACAGCTGAGTCCCTCTCCTGAACCAAGGGGAAGGAGGAAAGGAAGGTGCTGCCTTTACAAAGCTGAGGATGCTCTTTATTAGTGTGCTTGAAAAATCTAGAGAACATTTTACAGACGTGTCCATAAAATCATCTTTATAAACAAAACTGCCAGCGTACAAAAATCCTGCCGCGCTTCCTCCCTCGTTCCCTACCGAATGATTGTCTCCGTCGTTAGTCTGTGGGGAAGGGGGGGGGAAGAGGAGGATAAATAGAAGGGGATGCCCCGTACTCAAACTTCTTGTCCTTCCAGACAAAGTCCTGCGGAAGAAGTAAACTTCTGTGGCCCTCCTTAGTTTAAAAATAATAATACAGTGAAGGTGGGGGCGGATCAGCATCTCAGCACGAGACCAGAGAAGCAGCAGCCGAGCCCCAAATTCCAGGACACTGAGACCCCATTACTGCAGGGCAGGCAGGGTGTAGCCTGAAGGTGCAGCTCCTTTCACACCCAGCAAGTGCCCCAAACCCAGAAAATGCCCCAAACCTATCACTAAGGGGTAACGTGGAATTTAAACAAAGCCCCAGGTGGTTTTGTGACCTTCCCACTGCTCGTTCATCCTGCCCCACACCCCGAGACATCTCCTACAGCTCCCAGTACTAATCTGGATAAATCTCCCAGGCTGCGACTCCACGCAGAGCAACCACAACGCTGTGCTGCTCATTGGCTCGTGGTCACATTTACGGTCTGGAAAGCAGCCCTTTAAGGTCCTTCACGGTTCAGCTCAGAAGTGGTTTCACAGACACGCACCCTGAAGTACCCAGAAAGAAAACGGAGCTGCCCCGAGGCACCCAGGGCATTTATCCAGGCAGGAGCAAGGAGCACAGAGCGCTTTGCCTGCTTTTCCAAGTCTCGTCCTTCCCCAGCAAGCTCCCTAGCTGCCCTGGTGGAATCAGTCCTCTCCTTCTGTCCTGTGCTACAGGGTGAGGCTGTAAGGAAACACCAGGCACATGGCACACAGGGACTGGGCACACATCTCCCACCACCAGGTGCTTCGAAGCCTTCAGAAAGCCTCCCCAGCTCCGTCTACTCTTCACCTGAAGCTGAGAAGAGGTCAAAAAGCAAGAGTTAAGGGAACCTCCCAGCTTCTAACCCTCAGCACTTTCTGTGGTTAGGGGGATTAAAAAAAAAAAAAAAAAAAAGGGACCTAGAGACAGGTTCTCACCACTTTACAGGTAATGAAACGCGAGGGATGAAGCTACCTGCTGCAATCCCAGCATAAACATTTCAGAGCTGGGAAGCGAGCCCTTTTCTTTCCCCTCCCTCAGCTACCAGGTCTCTGGCAGCTCACACTGAGAAACAGACAGGTGAGAAGAAACATCTTTCACATTCCTGCTCCCTTGGATTCTGGATGTGGAAGAAAAGCTCTTCAGAGAGCTTCCCAAGACCTGACCCCCCTCTCCTTAACCTGAGCTGGCTTTCCCTTATCCAGACACAATTCAGTGAGCTGCAGACCCTCGCTTCTGGCTCCAGCTGCCACAGGACTGCTCAGGGACAGCTAAATTCGACGTGCAGAGCTGGATCTGCTACTGGGAGTGCATCTAGCGGTGCTAAAAGGTAGAGGAGAGGCAGCCCGACCTCCAAAAGTGCTGAAATTTCATACCACCCTCCCTTGCTTTGCATAACAAGTGGGGGAGAAGAAAAAAAATAATCCACTCCCCTTCTTTTATTCCTAGGTTAACGGTACCCTTTAAGCGAAGCAGACCTTCAAAAAGGGCAAGTTGTTTTTCCCTCTTTTAAATAGTAAGCAGGTGGCTTAAGCGCATTTCCTCCTGTTAATGGATTACACGTCCCTCTCCCCCAGGTCTGTTAGTGGCAAGACAAACAGCAGGCTCGAGCCTGGGAAGCAGCTCGGAGGGAGAAGTCTCTGCTCTGTCTGAGATGCTCTGTGCCGAGCGCGGGCACCACGCTCACTCTGGTTGCAGTCTTACGCAGAGTCCCCGTTTTTTTTTCAGGGGTTCACTGCTTAGGGGAAGAGCTTTGAACCCTAAAGCCAACCAGCACGTGGAACAGACCTATGTACACCATCCCGATATATACGCTGTGAAGTAATACTCTAGGTTATTGCATAGAAGGCAGCTCGCGTTAGCTAGGCCTAAATGACAGTCTGGGAGCGTTGCCGGAGGCTCAGGGGCTTCAGAGAGCTGGTGGAAGCAGACGCAGACTCCTGCAGTGGTGCCTGGGATTCCTCTTTCCTGGAGTGCTCCTCATACCACTCCTGCGAGACAAGATCAAGACAGAGATCAGTCTTTGCCCCAGAGCATCCCCTGATCTGCAAGGACACAGCATTTCTCGGGCAGAGGGGCTCCTTCCAGCTTTTTGCCTAGCATTTTCTCCAGCAGAGGGGCCCAGCTGTGACAGATACACCAAAGGTCCAAGCAAGAAGCACCGGGCAAGGCTCAGCAGCAGCCGAGCTGAGCTGCCAGGCCTGACAAACCCCAGCAAGGAAGCATCGTGCTCAGGATGTCCCTCCTTAATGTCCTGGACTCTCATGTTGACACCACAGGGATGTCTGGGGCTTGGAGTCGCGCCCAGGGTGCTACAGGACGTTACATCCCCCTGTTAGAGGCCAAACAGGACAGGCAGGGAGCTTCAACGTAGATTTCCACCCAGCTGTGTGGCATGTAATGTGTTTATTTTTGTTAGTGGGACTGAAGACTCACCCACAACCTAGCTGCCCAAGGGATAGAAGGGCAGATTCGAGTGGTTACGAGATTAATTCTTTCAGTTCTAATCACTGTATTAGTCCATGACCCCAAGCCACAAGGCCTTGCTCACGCTACAGCGGCCAAATTCAAGGCATAAAGTTCCTAACCTCGAAGAACACCGGCAGGAATTCCTCAAACAATGCAGCGAATCAGCTGATTTAAGCGTTTCCCATCTTTGTTTGCCTGCTATTGAAAAACAGGCACTTGCAGAGCACTCGGTCTGACGGACACACCCAAGCTCAAACACAATCACATTCCAGGGGCTTAGCAACTGAGTGTAAGGCGGCCAAGTCCCAGGAACACCACGCATGTGCTCCTCACAGCTGCCTTAGTGACTGTGGGTTATCCTGGCCACGCTGGAACACCTACACACACACACACACAGTTGCTGCCACTCTGCTGATGCACACCAGCACAGCCGAGTTCCTGAAGCCACCAGGGAGGCTCTCACACACTCTGTGGTTTTAAGAAAGCCTCCAAACACCAAATCTGATGACTCTAAAGCACAATTCATCTTCTGCTACCACTCTTTTCACGGAGGTGCCAGGGTCTCAGAGGGAGAAGGCCTCCTGTGTTTCAAAGGAGGATTTGTTCTTCCAGGCAGTGTGAAGTGTTCTGCTAACCACGAGCCTTGCTACTATGTCCAACTCAGCCCCACATACCTGTATCTCCTCCTCATACATCTTCATGCTCAAATCACTCTTGGTCCTGGATCTGCGTCCCAAAAACGTGGTTGACATTTGCTAAGGAAGTATTAAAAACAAAGACAACGTTCATCAGTCACCAGGCAGCTCACAGGAGCAGCCCCTGAGCTTCAGGCACCCCTTCTGCGGACACCTATTATCTGCTGGTGAGCCTGGGCTATTCTGGGCTCTTCCTGTTAGCAGAGGAAAAGAGCTGCAGAAGACCAGAGAGCTGAATTCTGAATTACTTTCTGCCCACAGGAGTCACCCGAACAGCACTGAGAAAAACAACCCCAGGTCTGGCACCATTCTGCACTCCACTGCAAGGCTGAGGGCAACATAACATCCCCCTGTGGTTGATCTTCTTCAAAACTCTTTCTGATCAGTACTGCCATGGCCATCATCACCACCGCTATTCTGAACTTTGCCCACGTAAACAAGAGCTCAACTTTTGACCACCAAGCCAACCAGAGCAAATCAAGGCCCGCGAAGGGACTGGAGCACTTGCATTTGGCAACGCAGATGCAGGAACACAATGGCTATTATTAAAACAATCGTTTAAGCTCCTCCCAGATGCACAAGCCAACAGATCTCAGAGACAAGAGCAGACAGCCAGGTCAGCTCTTTTTTCCTGTTCTGAGATGAAAACGTAAGCAGTGCTGCAGAGAAAAGGACAGCTGCTCTCTGGAATCGATACGAACGTATTGCTGCATAATGCTTCAGGACTGCCTGGGCCTAAGTGTGTGATGGCACGGAGAGAGGGGCAGGAGAATCACAAGGCACTGGCTTCCCTGGAGAACAGTAAATATGCTTTTTCCAGTCTGTTTCCCTCTAGAAGATAGCAAAAAGGTATGCGCAACCCTGGTGCACCTCCCTCCCCTGAAGCCAAGAACCTGCAGTGAGTTTCCTCTTACCCCATACTTGTCCATCTGCAAAACGATTTTCTGCAGCTGAGAAGTTTCGGGGGCGGCTGAACTCCGCTTGTACAGCTCAATTATCCCAACCACTTCCTCCTTGGAGATCTCCTTCTCCAGCACAATGCCGTTGTCTTCTGCACAGGCAAGAAAAAGAAGCAGGAAGAAAAGTTACCTGTACTGGAACACGTATGTCCTGGTCCCCCAGCAGGGCAGGGAAGAAGAAAACTGGTGTGTAGGGCCAGCATCTCTCAGCTTTTAAAACCTCAGGTTCCTCAGGGCCTTAAGGTCTTGTCCCTCTTTGCTCACCTGCAAGTTAACTAGCAGAACAAATAATCACACACTAATTGCTGCCTTTTGGCCTTCAGCTGCCCAGCGCAGCTCGAGATAAGTGCTAACAAACGCCTTTCACTGCACCATGCAGAATGGGAGCAGGAGGGATCGCAATGAGAAGTGTTCTGCAGCTAACAACGCCTGGCTCACACTGGCCTGTGCCACACATTTGGATCTCCTGGCACCTAAGGAAGACGAGGGGCGAATCAAAGCCACTCCTGTGGCTGGGGCCACCACCATGTCTTTCTACAGGGAAGATTCCCTGCATTAAATATATGAAAGTGCAGTAACTGTAGCTTCTTCCTGCAGAAAACTGTGAAGAATTACTAAAATTAGCCTGCATAAAGACTGAATAGAAAAGTCTGGGTGTAGATCACCTAAAGGAACAGCAGGAGAAGGACTGTAAGAGATTAATGTGTTTATGGCACCTAGATTAGCAGGTCACGAAGTTACAGGCAGCTTCAGCCGCCCAGCTCAGGAGACAAAGGACAGTGAGGAAACACGGTGACTCAGAGAGGTGTGATGGGATGGAGAGCCCAGTACAGTCAGCTCTTAAAGGGCACAAAAAGGCACATCCAAAACCAGCACATGGTCAGCAGTCTAAGTACAACTGGGAGATGTGGAAAGGACTGGATAGGCAGCGTCCTTTTTCTCTGTGTCATGGCAAGGAATGCTGTTAAATCACCTTTTTCTTGGTGCCCAAGAGCTGGATGAAACACTTGGAGGGAGACATCCTGGTGTGGGTGTGTGAGTGCAAGGGAGTGAAATTGATTTTAAAAGGAGGAAGGAAAAAAATCACCTTTCTTTCCTGTATGGTCTGAAGATTTTGCTCTGCTATATTATTGCTGTAAGGTTTCCTACGTTTCTTCCACAAAATGTGCACAGACTTGCTGTCTGTTTGAAACACCTCAAATAGCTGAAGTTCACCCAAACACACATACACAATATATATATGTGTATGTATGTATCAATACATGGCAGGGCAGGGTGGGGGAAATGAGGGCAGAGCTGGAAGCCAGACAGAGATATCACACAAAAGCATAAGAATGATTTTAGGAAGTCAGGCTAAAATAAATAAATAAATAAATGCAATCCAATCTCATTATCTCCTAAGAAGTCAGAGAGAGGAAACACGCTGTGGGTCAGCCAGTCCTTGGTTCTGACCTTCTGAGTCTTGGTTCTTCCGCGTGTAGTTCATGCGGAAGACGAAAGCCTCCAGGATAAATGCCACGATGATGGTCATCACCACCTGGGAGAGGACACAACAGGAGATAGAGATCAGGAGGCTGCTGCTGGGACGTTCTGCCCCCCCAGTTCAACAAGAAGCTGAGCTTTTGGGCTGTGCTTCAGCTCCTGCTGCTCCAGGCTCCTCTGTGGAAGAGAGGATGCACGTGTCCCACCTCACACATCTACCTGCATGTCGGCTGATGGCAGTGAACAACAAAGGGGACAGAACAAGACTCTGCTGCCCCAGCCCTTACCCTGAGGCCCAGATTTGTGCAGCACCAGTTTTGTCAATGCCCACAAATTCAAATTCCTGCAAGTGAGGAAGGCTCACATGTTTTTGGAAGACGTTATGCAGAGGAGCAAAGCTGTCCTCATTTAGGGACAAAAGCTCCCTCTGGAACAGAGGGAAAGCTGTCTCCCTTCCCCATCCCCTCAATTTCACATACAAAGCATCTCCAGACACCTACCATGGTCACAATGTAGAAGATCATGAAGTAAAGGCGACTCCAGTGAGTGGTTTGAGACGTCACCCCTTCCTAGAGGAGACAGGGGGAAGAGTCACTGGTGCATACAAGAAGAATGCTGGCTAAGCAACAAAAAGCAGCATCAATACTATCCACCTCAAATTCATGCTAGCCCCAGGACTGCCTGCACAATGCTCAGTGCTCCAGCTGGTTCTTGCAGCTAACCTGCCCCTGAAGGCAAAAAGCTATGGTCCTACATGCAAACACACAGAGCACTTAAGGCCCCTGGCTGAACAAACCACTGCTGCTAAGAGAACACAGCCTGGACAGCAGGGCGATAAGCTGGAGTACAGCCTGACTTCATTTGTCCAGATTGTGAAACCCAGCCTGAAGGCTGGTCAAGTTCGACGAGTAAACATGCCTGGTAGCATGTCACAGAGGTCAAATATCACCTCGTGATCAAGAGCAACAAACACCTAACAACAGCAAGTGACTAATCCTGCCCTCTCCACACGCCAGGGGAAGAAAGCAGTGATAGAATGAAAAGATCTACCTCATCTGGCAAGAGCCTGTGCTGCTTGGGCAGACAAGGGAGCTGAGGTTTACTTACCATGATGATGTACCAGTCATTGACAACCGTCAGCTCAAACAGGGTCACTGCAGACGAGGGAGAAAAAATAAAGACAACTGCTTTATCCAACCTCGCTTGTTTTAGAATGAATCTTTAGACAAGGTATTTGACAGACAAAACAGAGGCAAGATGCTAACTTCCAATACAGGCAGCAAATCCAGATGCAGAATGCAGGCCCTCATCACTGCAATCACTTTGGCATCTTCCCACTTACAACAAAGGGGGTTAAACCCACAGAACCAGGAGCATGGCTTAATCTCTGTTTCTTAAGAATCAGAAACACACCTAACCCTTTCCATAACAGAGTATGGAGACCTCTGAAATCCCCAGGAGATGAGCACCTCTGCTCATGCATTAAGAAAAGTCATGAAGAGTAACCATATTCAAATCAATCTCCACCAGTGGATTTCAAGAAACGTATTAGCATTACTGCTGGCTCTTTAGAAGAACAGTAACCTAAAGACCTCCTTAAACATCTCTGGAAGCCCGGTCTGATTACCAGTCAAAACAGATTTGCTCGCTTCACACTGGCTTTTAAGAGATGGCTGCTTGCTTTGCAATAAAGCCAAGACACAATGACTCAGCTGACATTGTCCAAAAAGGAAGAGCAGGATATTGAGTGCCTGAGGTGCACTCGGACGTCTCTCTTACAGTGTCCCAGGCACTGCAGTCCTGCCACCCAGCTCTGCAGGGACACAGATGCGCTAAGGAATAGGCTTTGCTATGGACAAAGCTGCCCTTACCAAAGCTGTTCAGAATGTTGTCGAAGTTGTTGAGATAGTAATAGCCTTCTTCCACAACCGTCTTGTTGCCAACCGTGTGGTTCACCCAGCGGTAGGAATCTGCAACAGTGCTTGTGCTGGTTGGGGAAACCAGGGCAAAGAATGAGAAGAGAAAATGGAAAAAATCTCAGGATAATAAATACCAAAACACTTAGAAGGTGTTGAATTGGGTGGCAGTTTCCAACTCTTGGCTAACACTTGCCCCTGTCTTTGAGAGCTAGCCTCTCTCCTTCACAGCTCAGCACAAGCCCAGGGTGTCTGGGTAATAATTCAAGAAACATTAGACCAGAGAAACTGAATGTCTTAGACTCCTTGGCTCACAGCCTGAAAGCCTGGTATTTCCAAGTGGTCTGCCATCATTTAAGATGCAAAGGGCACAGGACAGCTCAGTTTCCAAGACTAGGCAAATTTATCTTGTAGAAAGCGAGGCCTAAATATGTTACATCTGGCACAGCAACTCTGGGGTCACGTAGATGAAAATCTCAATTTTGCTCTAGAGCAGATGTTTACAGGAAGTTCCCAGCTACAATACCAAGAAAAAATTCTACCAGCACAGCCACCTGAGGTGAACTACAGATCTCAAAAAGCAGCCAAATCGTCCGCAGAAATCTCTCCCTTTCCAAGTGCAGCATGAAAGCAATTTCATCCAATCTTACCTAGAGAAGTGAAGTATCTCCCTTAAATTTTCCCACTGTGTTGCTTTGGCTACAGAGCCCCATTCAGACCCATTCTCTAGCCCCTTCTTCAGCTGGAGATTTAACTGCCAGAGGCACTACTACTGGCTCTGCACCAAACCCACTGCAGGGGGGATGGATTTGCAGTACTCACTTGCAGCAGTTCGGGTAGACCACACCAGCAAAGAATTCCATGCCAACGATGGCGAAGCAGTAGTAGAAGATCAGCAGGGTTAAACCTAGGCTAGAGGCAAAAAAACACAAAGAGCAACTCTTCAGTAGCACAGTACTGAGGGAGGCAAAACAAAGTCACAGGCTAGCTGCTCTGGAAGGATTTCTAAAAGCACTGAAAACCCCAGACCACCCTCTCTGCCAGCACTGCCCTGCAGTTCTTTGTGCTTTCATTCATCAAGTCCTTGGACAAGGAGCTTGCCACTCACTGAAGAGAGAGAAGTTCTAAGAAACTAGAGAACAGCCTGGATTCTCTCCCAGTTTATGTTCTGCTAAGCAAACTTCTCTCCACAGTTTTTCTAACAAAAACCAAACCACAACAAACTGTTCTGCCCTCTCCACATCCTTCAATGCAGGGACAGCACCAAGAACAAGGCTCTCTAGCTAACACTCCACCACCGAGCTCCTCCCAATGCCCTACCATTTAACAATAATGCTCTAGAGTGGCTGTACTAAAGACAGTGAGACAGCTGGGGCTGGGCATATTTGTGCCAACGTTCCTCCCACACAGGTCTCCCCTCTCACCAAAAGCTGGGGGAGGAAGTATTAAACAACACCAACTCTTAGTCATTCTCCTAACATAAAAAAAAAAAAGGCATCCCAGAAGGGTTTCTTGCTGCTCCAAAAAATGGGAAGATTACCAGCACACTGCAACCTCAGCAGCACATCAAGCAACAATCAATCGACAGGTCTGAGGACAAAACCTTTGGAAGGTTTGGCAGGGCCGTGTCCTGATCCCAGCCCTAGACACTTAACCTTTGCCCCTCTCTCCCCCTGCTGCTGTCCAAAGAGATTAAGTCAGTACCTGGCCATCCTGGGGAACAACTCAAACATGGTGTCCAGGACATTCCTGTAGCGTTTCTTCAATTTAAAGAGCCTGAAAGGAGAAGCCAGAGAAGTTAACCTACGCACTGAAAGCTGTCGGGAATAGTTAAAAAGAGCATCACAGTTCTCTGCATCTCCCAGGTTAATGATCAGGGAAGGTTTCCTGACACTAAACCCACACAATCTGCACTGGTTCAAGTGGTCTCTGTTCATCTGACAACATCCTGTTGCTTCATCTGGATGTTTATGGCACAGCCAAGTAAGTGCTTACAGGATTAAGGAATCTTAAGGAAAGGCCCACATCTGCTTACACAGCATGAAGCATAAATAGCTTTTTTTTTTTTTTATATATAAAAAAAGTTGTAAGAACCCAAACTAGACCTATGCACAGGGTAAGGATTCATCACTCTTTTCCCTAGACACAAGCTTTTCTGTGTTTACCTCACGACCCAGTAAAAATTGATGAAAGAAAACACACATTGTGCCTGCTAATTTCGGATTTGGCAAACCCCTCGGCCTTCACAGAGCAGCACAGTTGCCAAACACAGGTTTTCTGTTGCTCCCCTGCCAAAGCATTTCCACTCTCCCACCCCCCCGCCTTCGAGTGTCATGAAGTGTTCTTTAAATCCTCACTGAAGAGCTAAACTACATTAGCTCGCCTTTAATGAAACAATATTTTGCTTCTCAAATGCCTTCCACAGCTCTCAGATCCTTCTGTCAAGGCGAATGTACCTCTGTAACAGCCTCCAAACGAGAGGGTTAATCAGACCCATCTCACTGAGCTGCAGAGAGGTTACAGGCCCCAGCCTTGCTTAAAGGGTGAGGTACAACTGAGCAGGGTTGTGCTTCACCCTAGAAAACAGTACCCTTTGAAAACTGTAATTTCTGGTAATTCAAGAGAAATTATTAAGCTGGCTGAGACCGCCTCACCCCGACAGAAGAGCTTTTCTCTGAACAGCATCAGACAATTTAGAGGAGGTGTAAGAACCCCACGAAGGCAGACATAGGATAATCTGTCCCTGGTAAATCCCTTGATCTCTATTAGAGATCAGCTTAAGCTCCAAAGCACGGGGTTTCATATCCCATCCCAAGTTTTTATCTTGGGTTTTGATGGCGCTGGCTAATCTCCTTACCCTGCGCGATTCCTGGTCGTGCCATGGTCAGGTACCCACGGAGCAATCCTTGCCCCCTCCTGGTAAGGAGCTCAGTGCCCAGCTGGACCGATGGCAAACAAACCTGCCTGTTTTCTTCCCCAACCTGCTCTCTGTGCTCCCTGTCTCACCTCAGCAGCTGGAGAGGTCGCAGGACCACGATGAAGTAGAACGGCTCCATGTTAAATGCCAGCGCCATAAGCCCCAGGAACGCAAACAGGGTCACTGAGAAGTCAAAGCTGGAAAAGAAAAAAAAATAAATGACATAAATGATATATCACTAATATTTCAGCAGAGAAGAGGTACTCGGGGCCACTCCAGCCTGACAGGATGCCCAAGGCCAAGCCCAGAAGCCTCACCCTCAGGCCTCAGAACTCATCTCAGCAGCCAGCCTCTCTAACACACCCAGTTTTCATCGCCTCTAAGTGTCAGCGCACACTTACAGATTCCAGCCTGAGGACAGGTACTCGACGGGCCCCAGCCCAGTGGTTTTCAGGAGCAGCTCCACGCCGTAGACTGTAAAAGGAGATGAGAGCCATGACCAGAAATTAGCAGCATCACAAGGAGGGCTTATGCAAAGGCTCGCCCTCTGCATAAGATACATGGTCCTTTCAGTACAGGACCTTATTCTTGGTCAGATGCCAAAAGCAACATTTTCCCTCCAAACCAACATGTTTTCCTGTATGTGGTGATTTCTCTTCAGGGCAGCTGACAAAGCAGTTACTTGGCTAACAAGCTGTAAATGTTCAGGCACAAGCTCCCATACAAGAGGCCAGAGAGCTGTGTAATAAATTCAGGCCTGCTTGGGTATTTCCTTTATCTCAGGGGAACAAATCCGACCTCCACCCCTTAGCCTAGGCCTGACCTGCAGCGACAGATCCTTTCAAAGAGGAGCTATCTAACAGCCTCTCTGTCCTGGCAGCGCTCTGTGAGCATGCAGGTTAAAAAACCTAAACAAAGCCAACAATACCACAATGACAGGGAGGCACCCCTGGCTGCAGCAGCTCAGGGAGCTGTAGAGCAGTGCAGCGCTCACGTGGGTCTATGTGTATGCTGACAAACTCTGCCAGGCACAGGATCATTCTAGATGGAGTCTGTACACCTGTTTTTACTCCAAACTGCACGATCTTCTGGCAACTGCCTATTCCCTTCCCAACTCATTACGAAGTGAGATATTTCTGTTGGGTGGCACCTACTTACTTGTGAGGAAGACTATGTAGCTCCACGGGACATTTCTGGAGAAGAAATTCCCTCCTGCAAGACACAAGAACAACTTCTGGCCTCCCCTTCATTCAGTCACCCAGCAGCATAGTCAAGACAGCAAGCTGCAACATTTCCTACCTTGCAGCATGAAGGTTTCGACAAGAATCCAAATTCCATTCACAGCCACCACAGTATCTGGAAAACAAAGTGAAAATCGATGAGTGGCAGGGTCAACATTTCCAACTCAGCTATCAAGTTGAATTTGTAACTTGGAAGAGTCACAACCTTCCACTCAGGCTTTTCCCAGGCTGTCAAACAAATGCAGCACTGCTGTCTTCTAAAGCAAACAAAACTAAAACAATGACCAGGTTCACGCTCAATCATTTGTTCACCAAGCATTATTTTACACACAAGTAACAACATGGCAAAATACTTCAGCTTCGTCCTAGTTCTGGAACAAGATCTTGAGAAGCACTAGGTCCCCAACAGTGCAAAGCCTCTGTCAGCTTGGATCTGTAACTGCTCCCCAGTGTTCAGATCTCAGGAGCTGAAGGTGCAGGATTTATCCTTTTCATTCAGATGTCCACATCTCTTCCCTTCTCCCTAGTTTAGCACCCTAATTTATAAAAATCAGTCTCCTCCAATGTTCAAATTACTCCAAATTACTGAGTAGGAAGAGACCGTGTAGAACATAACAAGGAGCACCACAAGTAAGCACTCCTCCTCCTTCTCGAGAGAGAAGAAGAGATTCTCCCAGGCAGAGCAGTTGCCAAGCAATCCCTCCAGCAGCAACAATGCTCGCACCTTCTCAAGTGCCAGCAGAACAAGAAGGCTGCCTGGCAAGGCAGTTCCTTATCCAGCATCCTTCAGCTGCGAGATAAAAACCTCAAGGCTTGTGAAAGCTAACCGCCAACGTATCCCAACACAGTGAGCCAATCCCTACACAGCCAGCCCACAAGTAGGTTATAAAGCAGCCTCTGCAGGAGACTCAACACAGCAGCAGTTGGTGTGAGCATGTTTTCCCTCCCTCTCCACCCAAACTCCAGATTTTGCAGAGGAACCACAGCTCAGACCAAAGACCAGACCACACCGTGCTGAGTCCTTGGAGGGCTGAGCACAGACAGTGCCCCTGGCACGAGATCAAGGGAGTGTGGCAGAGAGAGAGCAAGCTTGTTGCTGCTACTTACACATGGTGTACTGGAACACGCGGGAATTCACGAGGATGTTGATGCCTGCACAAAGGAAAGTACAGCAAAATGCATGTTAATGCAGTCCTCTGTGTCTCACGCACAGCTTCCTCTATCTTCTCCTTGAGACGTTTTTCACATCAGTGCTCAGCACAGAAGCTAAGCAGATCTGTAGAACAGAAACTTTTGCTTCTTGGGACCAAGGTGAATTTGGTTTAGATTTTTAGTGGCAGTGAACTCGCTATCCTTAACCATCTAGATGCCTCCCCCTGCCTCTATGCACTAGTCCTGTGATGCGGACAGAGGTAAAAACAGCTGACGAAGCACTGCCCACGTTTGAAACAACACGTGCTGCCAAGGAGAGCTGAGTGCATTAGCAGAGATCCACAGGGCTCCTACAGCAGCTGTGCGTGTGGATCAGGATGCTGCTAACTGCTTCCCACCAGCATACCCATGATTTCGGTGTTGGTGTTCTTATTTCTGAGTGCCTACGTTCAATCAGGTAACCTGGGACACGGGAGATGTTACATTTGCAAGGCAGACAGCACTGATGGCTGTTGCACATCTCCTTCCCCCTCCTTAGCAGCTGCACTTGATCTGTACAAGCACCGCAATTCCATGTTGGGACCACGAAGCCCCGTGGCTTCTTGGCAAACAAATCCCACTGCACTGTCACAAACCCTGCTAGATTCAGGGCTCGTACATCACAGCTAGCCTCGGGGCTGAAAAAGGAGTACAGCCCTCCCTTGACCTCAGGGTCTGGTTCACCACAGAGCTTCTGCTAAGAGGTGTCTCACTCTGAGGAAGCTGGGGTTTGGGTCAGGGCACAGGGAGTCTGTAAAGAAATCTCCCTTGGAGGCTCTGAATACACAGAGTTGGTTAGTGGGCCTCCCCTCAAGCTGTTTACCTTGGACGTTTCAGCACAGGTACATAAGAAGTCCCTTCAGAGAGCCCTGTCTTTATAGAGAAAAGCTCTTCTTACTAGTTGAATGTGTGCTGTCATTAAACCCCAGCCAGTACCTTTAAAAATAAGGAAAGCTGTCCGGGGAAGGTCATCAAACCAGTGCTCGCGATTTCGTTTTGCCTGGAAGCAGAACAGCCACAATCAAAAGAAGTCAAAGCTATTTTCACCCCAAAAATACAGCAGTTGAGACCTACCTTATCCACATCACCTGCTTTTAGACTGCCTTTGTTTCTCATCCACTTTCTCTTTAATCACTGGCCTCCTTTGCTCCCCCCCCCGACACACTTCCCTGTTCTCCACCCCATTAATACTCACCTTCCATTTTAAGCCAACAACTTCATAGAAATTGTAAAAATCCTTTAGACTGCAAAACAAAAAGAAACATCTGATCAGAGCCTTAAAGATGATTACATCCTTAAGTGTCCTTGCCAGGCACCATCAGCAGAAAGTCCCTGGCAATTATTAACTCCTTATTAGAGCTGCAGCCACTGCTGGTAAGTCAACACTGACCTCTTCTTGGTGTGGCCAGAGGTTGCTGACTGACAGTAACTAGAGCTGCATGCTTTTAGGTGTCTGAAAGCACGGATGCTGGAACTTCTCAGGCTCTTGCCAGTGCCATTAGGTGCCTAAATTTAAGAACTCAGTCCTTCTCCTCGTGCCATTTTCAGTATGTCTCCATGGCACTTGACTTGAAGGAGAAGCATCAGCACCAGTTTCACGGGAAACATTCGCTCTGTGGCCAGAACAAATTAAAAGAAGGAGCAGGTCTCCTGCTCTAATTCCCTCTACTTCCATGCTGGCTCGAGTTAGCTGCACCCACCCACCAGAATGGTAATTCTCTGCCTCATAACGCAGAGGATGACAGTCCTGAAAGCACCAGCAGAACCAGATTTTAATTAACAAAACCCTAGGGGACACAGCCAGCTGCTGGAATAACAAAAACTTGTTAAGCTGCGAGGCTGCGCTGTGTGAAGAAATGCTCCTTGCAGGCTCTAATGCTGTTCCTCAATTTCCCACTCCTCTGTTCTGGCAGGGAAAGTGGGAAGCAGAGGATGCCTGGCGACTGCCAGCAGAGCACTGTATCCACAAGAGGGCATGCAGGAACGCCATCACCTCTGCAGAAAAACCCTCAATTCCCAGGGCACCCATCCCTCCAAGCTTCCTAATTCCCCAACTCAAATCTTTTCAGGCACAGAACTCCATTGCCACACTCCAGACCAGTTTCCTTCCATGAACTCAGCCATCCTCTCTGAGGGATAGCCTCAGAGTGTGAGGCAACATCCCTGCTCAGGGCGCAGCAGCGAGAGCATCCTACCTGAGTAAAGGAGTGTTACTTTGATTCAGTGCTTTGAACGTGAGATACCGCTCTCGGGTGCACATCCGAGGCTTGTAAAACCGCAACAGCCCTTCAAAATGCTTGAAGGAAATTCCAGACGGCCTCTAGAAAACAAGGAAATGTCATGAGCAGGGACATCAGACAGAAACATGTACATGCTTGCATGTTCAACTCTCACTCTGGATTTGTTTTAAGCAGGATTTTTACATGACCATAAGATGCCATTTTAAACAAGCCTGAAAAGTACCCTAAACCAGTACTTTAAAACACTGCCTTTATCCCAGAACACAGAGATCAGAAAGCTCTCCTGGCAAATCAGACTCTCCAACAAATGCAGAGCTGTTCTGTGCTGCCCCACCCCGTGAGAACTGTCCAGCCAGACATCCCAAGCAGAGTTCAACTACTGCCTCTGAGAGAACAGCAGATATTCTAACTGGCCCTGTTACTGGCATGATTTTCAGACTATAAGCTCTTCCTCAGAAAGTGCTAATATAGCAAATGTGCCCTAAACATGAACCAATTTACTAGAGGAAAGTTAATTATTCTTGGGCCTTATTTCTCTTCTTGCTCTGTAAGTTAACCACAAAATCAATGCTGTCCCCCAGTGCTTTGTCCCTTAAAGCCCTGTAGGCGAATTCTGTCTCCACCATTTATTCATGCAGTATCTGGCAACTGAACCGTCCCTTCACATGCATAACCCGCCCCTCCTCTAACTACTGGTGCTCAAGAAGCAAGTCCTCGAGTGACCCACGCTTGAGGGTGGAAATTAAGGAGAAATCAATGACCACGTACACTCCAGGACAAGCTTCCCTCATTTACCAAGGTACTTCCATGGTCTCACATTGGGGCTGAAATTCAGGCTACTTTTTCCTCCAGAAAGATTAAAAACTAGTTGGACAATTAAAAAAAAATGGTAGCCCTTGGTGATTACGATCTGACCTCCCTCCCAGCACACCCTAGGACGGTTCTGAGAGTCCCCACAGGGCGCTGTACCTGTTTGGTGATGAGCAAGCGGTAGGCGTGCTGTATGGCCGTGCGCTTGTGCAGCAGCAAAGACTTAAACTTCCTCTTCTCAATGTCATTGAACGTGTCGAACACAACAGCAAGAAGCTGCGGAAAGAAGAGATGAGACACAAGTTTTGATCCGTATTCTGTACAGCTACCTGAGCCAAAGCTTCTGAAACAGGCAGGAATATCCAGTCCAGAGAGGCAAGGAGAGGCACTGCTGTGGGGGGAATCTTCTTACTGAAGCAGGATAGAGGTAGTGATGGCTCACCGAGCATAAGGACAAAAAAAAGATCAGGACGCACACTGCACACACTGATCCACTTCTTTGTTTGGAAGAGGCCCAGATATTTCTGGTCTCCTAACACTCACTAGTGGTTTTCAGAGGTAAGGCTGAATCCCACATATACTAACAGAAAATGGCATCAAAACGTTGCTAAAAATGCCCCAGTCTCTTTGGGAAGGGGGCTTTGAAGGCTGCTGTTTGGACTCATCCATCCATGGGAGCTTTGGCAAACATATCAGAACTATCCCTCCATCTAGCACAACAGTAGTGAAATCCCAGCCCATTACAAGCACCAAATCACTCACCTTGGGATGCAGAATCCCCCAAGTCCTTCAACAACCCATTTTTCACAGCCCACATCCTCCCCTGAGCTGGTTTCAGCTCTGCTCTGGATGCTGAACGAAGCAGAGCGAGCACAGCAGCCGCACTCTCACGCTGCAGATATCAGCACTCTTCAAGTCCTGCCATCCTTAGCAATTCCATTCCCTTTTGAACTGATTTACAAAGGATTTCAGGCAAGCCCAGATAATAAAATGCCATTTTACGATAAATAATTAAGACAGAAAAGGACAGTAAATTTTGTGCAACCAAGTATGTCACTCCAAGCATGATATTAATGTGAGAGAGGCTGAAAGATGATAATATCATTCTGTTTTCTATGATTTAGTTCACTTCCTTGTGGTCAAACGTTAGACTCCTATCTGCAGCAGAGCTGCCATTTCTAGAATTATTCTGCCAAGGGGTCTCAGGTTATTATAGAGCACCCTTGGGAACGGGGAAGACTTGAGCAATGAACTCCAAATCCAGGCAGAGGGAAGTCAAGCGCTTCAGCAGGGCACTCACCAAGTTCATGATGAAGTACAGCTCAATGGAGAGGTACACTATGAAGAAGACACAGGACCATGGGTTCCGGGCATAAGATGGCATCATCACGTCAGGGAAACTGCATCCGAAAGACACAAATTTAAGTGCCTCAATACATCATGCTACACTTCCCACTACGTAGGCAAAAGCACAAGACTCAGATGTGTGCACCCAGGTCCATGGACCTACTAATTTCTACAAAACCTGTGGTTTCTCATGACACCAGCAATGAGCAGCAAGAACACTGAGGTATGATAAAAGGAAAAAAAGAAAAAAAAATATTTCCTGCACATCCCAAAAATCAAATGGGCCAAGGGGATTTGTAACATGGCTAGGGGTTGTGCTTGTACCAGTGGCAGCAGTATAGCCCTGGCGTAGAAGTACTACAGCATGACACCCTGAGATTTATTCCATCCTTTGCTAATTTCCTAATCCCCAGAGCTCTCCCAGACAGCAGATCAATATTTACCCACTGTCATTATCCCCCCTCTCCTAGATAGTGGAAGTGAAGCAGAGGAATAGGAAGTTACTTCACAACAGCAAACTGTCGGCTGACAAAGAAGCACAAACAAACTTTCCCTCCTCAGACCCAGGCCTAATAAAGCTGTCTCCCCCTTATTGCCCTCGCAGTGATGAAGTGTTCGAGTGGCTTAGAGATAACTCCACATCTGAGGTCACAGTGGCCTAAAACAAAACGAAGTACCAGCTGTTCCCAGGCAGGCTAACCCAGGAAACCTCTCTCATGCAGGGGAAAGGAGTCACAGCTGGAGACAGACCATTTCTGCAGAGAAAGTCTGGACTCTGCTAGATTTCTTCTGGGACAGAGGCACAGACATCCTTTTCTAGCTCAGAACTTACTTTGAAGTGGTCAGAAGTACAAAGAGATTCACGAGGCTGTTCTCTAAGGTACTGAAGTACTGAAAGAAAAGGGAAAAAAATAAATGACAAAAATGCAAGCAGAATTTCGTAGTGACATTTTGTCCAAAAAATAAACCAAATGAAAACAACATCACTTGAATACAGGCACTTCTACTGTTCCCTGATGCCTCCTAGGAAAAAGGGTTCTTTAGCACTGGTCTTTTTTAAAGGTCTCTGAGAGATGGCATGTGAAGAGTTAAATCAATTGAAAGCTAACCTAAACATTTTTGCAGTCATATTCCCAGGAAGTTATAGATTCATAACACGAGGAACTTGGCTGCTGGACTTGGACAGTCACTGTGTGAAACGGCCAAGCTCCCACCCAAATAACTCCCTCCCCTGGGGATGGCAGCAGGTGGCCCATCCGCCTGAATTCAGACAGCAAGAACAAGGAACGACGACCTGAGAGTTCCCTGTGGGACTTCCTCTCTCTGAAGAAGTCCCATGCGCTGCCTTCCCTGCCAGCAGGTGTTGACCCAGGGTAACTCTGCCAACTGCCTCGTCAGCCACGGCCCCTGCACTTTTTCCATTGCCAGCACCAGCTAACGTCTGCCCCCCCAGGCCACCACGTGGAAATAAGCCACGTCTGCACAGTAATACTCGGTTCTGAACTGGTCAAACTGGGACTCAAGCTTCAGTTCTAGGTGAGAGATGCTTACCGGATCTGAGTGGTTAGGAGAAAACAAGTAAAAACCTAGAAGAAAACGGAGAGGAGAGGTGAGAAGACGTGTGGAAAAGAACAACAAGAAGTCTGTTTCAATTTCAAGCAGCAGTGACTAGTCTCTGTTCTCAAAGAGCAAAGTCACACCAACAGCCAGAAAGCACCATGAAGAGAGAATCTGTAAGGCCTTTTCTATACATGATTGCTAATATGGCTCATTGGCATTTCACTGATCCTTTTGGAAAACAAGCTTTTTGGGGATAGGATGGTAGCAGGTACACCACAGACATTCAGCTCTTGAGAGTTCAGACTAAACTTACTGGGCTGAGAAAGAGATGATGGAAACAGAACATGGAGACCTCCAGCACACACACCATGAACTATCTTCTGGAAGAGGTCAAAAGGACCTTTGCTACAGAATCAAACAGCGATCTCCTAGATTTTTTTTAGCTCTAAATAATTCTGCTTTCCTGGTGACTGCAGGTAAAGTGGGACACATGGAAGACCCTGGCAGGACCCTGAATCTGATCAGGTTTATATTCATCGTTCATGTCTGTGCTGCTTTTGGAGAACTGGTTGAGAGCATCCTAACTCCTTATTTCCATAAGTACAACTCACCCAGGATGGCAAAGATCACCATGAAGAAAAGCAGGAGGAGAAGAATGTCAATAAACGGTGGGAGGGACTGGAAGATCTGTCGCAGGTTTCTGAAAAAGGAGGGAAAAAAAATGAGGAAAAAAAGGAGAAAACATGGATAAACCAAAACTCGTATATTTTCTCTTCCAGGTGGGAAGGGGAAAAAAAAAAAGAGTGCTTTTCCTCCACCTATTGCTAGGCGTGACAGCAGAAGAGCCAGCCAGCTGACCGCTCACCTCCTCACGGCGCCGCAGTAGCGGCAGTCCACCAGGAAGATGCAGCGCAGAGCCCTCGTTATGCGGACATGCGAGGTTTGGCGCACCAGCACCACGATGGCCTCGATGAACTGCACAAACAGCACGCAAGTCTGCAAGAAAAAAAAAAAAAGGGGGGTTAATAAGAGGCACAGCTGCAGTCTCCTTCCGGAAAGGCAAAGCTCTCACTGACCACCCATTTATTTGCATCTCCCAGAGCTTAGGAACCTCACACGAATTATTTGGCTTTGGGACACGTGGCTGAGCGATGCTGCTACAGGAAGGCCAGCAGTTACTGCGGTTCTTTGGTTCTCAGAGGTGCTGAAGGAAAAAACGACAACGCCCAGAGGGACAGCTTACCTTCACCATCGTCCTCTTGTGCCTAATGAAGGTGTGGAAGCCCAGCCACCTCATCTTCATGGAGAGCTCAAAGACCACCACCATCAACGCAAACAGCTCCAGGGTTGCGTGGACCTGTTAGGGCACAAACCTTAAACCTGGGCTTCTGGCTACAGGCACATCAGAGGCCATGCTTCCACCCCTTTTTTCTAGCATCACTGTTGTCAAACTCAGAGCACTGAGTGCACATGGGAAAACCCAAAGACACTCTTAAAGCTAGCACAGTGCTCTGCTTTCACAGTCTGTATGTTTATTGCTTTGTGCTTCTGTTAAAGCCAGTCGAATATTCCTCTAGTCAGCATCAGCCCAGCATTTCCTAGAAAACCACACAGCTTTTGGACTTGAAAAACATAAAAAACATATATATTTGAAACAGAAGGGCAAGACACTAGCAACTCGAGCAGAAATGCTTTTTAAAAGTTTGGGACTGCATTTTTATTTATTTATTTATTTATTTATTGGTGAAATGCAGGAAGGAGATCTGCTTGGCAGACTGAATTTACATGGAGAATAGTTTTTTCTTGACACAGAAGTTCTGGACAACCACAGAGAGTGTCCTGATCAAGCTCAGGAACAGAACAGCAACTTCTGGCAGTGCTGATGGACCCCTTCTCTGTTGGAAGATGCAGAACTGGGCTATGAAGATGCCCTTTTCTTACAACCTCAGCATTAGTCATAGCTCAAAACCCCAATGCATTTAAGGAGCCCTGACTCATTCTGAGGAACACTTTAACCCAAAGGCTGTCACAAACTCTTCTGCACCCTGGCATGCTCTTAGGATGCAACTAGAACTACCAGCTCCAAAAGCAGGTGGAGGTTCTCCCACAAGCAGCATCAGCTCCTAGCGCTGTGCCTGACAGTGGCACCTGCTGGCTGGGGACCAACAACAGGACACAAAACTGTTTGTGCATCCCTTATCTAAACCCACATTTTGTCAGGGTTAGACAAAACTTCACCTCACTTAAATACATTACAAGAAAAGTGCTCAAGACATCAGGAGGACGGGACACAAGGTTTAGCAAACTGGTTCTCAGCTTGGGCCAGGTGCGTTCTAGGGAGCAGCGACACCCCTGGGATAACAGCACCAACACAAGGACAGTAAAACCACCCTGTGAAAGCACACAGACTTCAGAGCTACCTCAAGAAAAAGGAAAAGCCACACTTTTCTCCACAGTTACAAAATTTAAGATCTGCACAGGCTAGATAATGTAGCTGTGTCACTTTCACAGTTGCTCTATGCACATCAGGTTAAAAAAAAAAACACACAACAAAAAGGATGTTTTGCTGGCTGGCATATCTGCTCTCAGCCAATTTAGAGAACAAGCCAGATGGGTTTTTCCCATCTGCTACCTCCTTCCTTTATGTCTAACCTTTTTCCTCTTACCCACCCCTGCAAAACAAGCAAACTTCTTCATTATGCCCCCAAGTACTTACGAAGATGCCAAGGCGGAGCATAGGAACAGCTGGCGCCTCGCACAGAGACAGCAACAGGAGCAGCAGTGCCGTGCTCAGCTCCATCAGGTAGAAAAGGTGATTGTGTGCAAAGAGGTAGGCAGCAAGTGCTTTGGCATTTTTGGGGTGAGTGAAGAACTTGTCGTTGTTTTCTCCTTCCTAGAGCAATAGGAGTAATAAGGAGAAGAGCACCAGTGACTGTCAGCTCTGTACCTGAGTTTTCCACCCAAAGAACAGACTTTTATAAGGACTGGCCTCAATTCCCAATGGGCTATTCCCACCTCACAGCCTGACATTCATTTGTTTATTGAGGAATGAACTCCACACGCGTGGGGCATCCCCTTCCGTTCCTCAGCACATTTCAGTAATGAACTCGTTAATATCCACCAGCCCCCGCTTCAGGAACCCTTGAGGTTTTCCAAAAGGAGGAAGAGCCCTGAAGGAGTTTACAAAGGCAGGAGGAATCTTCAGTCGACATCCCAGCGCAAACACTGCACCTCATCTATTTGCAACCACTTCCATACGTTTGCAGCTCTCTTTGATTAAAGTTCTCCAGGACAGAACAGAAAAACACACAGATAAGCTCTGGGGCACCTGGCTGACAGTCGCTCCTCCTTATCTGGGCCTCGACGAATGCCTGAGAGAAAACATGCTTGGGAGCCCTGGCAGCGAAGGAAGGGAGCAGAGAGACAGACTCCATGAAAAATTAACAGGTCTCTATGCTGATTTATCATTTCCTCTTAAAGAGAGAGCTTAATTAATGTTAAAAGGTCAGATACTCCATCTTAACAGTTTGCCTTCAACTGATTTTAAACAGCTGCGCTGTTGCTATTTTTAATTCTAGGACAAAACTTAGCTCGGGGAGAATTTAGAAAAGATTTTTTTGTGAAGAAGCATCCAGCTGCTTCTCCTGTCTTGAGCCGAGGGTTTAAGCAAGGGAAGCCACTCACAGGAAGCTTGCTGGCTCTTGGAAAACGTCAAATGAGAACATTTTTCCCCAGCTGGGACACTCAGGTACACACACACACTTTTCTTTCTGAATGAATACCTTTCCACCCAAGAAGAATCGCTATAATTGCAAAATGGATAACAAGATCCACAAACAGGACCTCCTTTAAGAGGTGAAGCGTTCTCAAGACTAATTCAAAAGAGGGTTTCAAACATTTCTCATTTAGGCGCCTCGCAGGCAAGCTCACACTCTGAGTAAGAACAAACAAACACTGCCAGGTCAGGGAGCCAGATTGCAGGCAGGACAAAACCCAGCAGCAAGCTCCATAAAACGCGAGCCCCCCACTCAAAGGGAGAGCTAGCTTAGATCAGCAGGGCATTCTTATTCACGCCTGACAAAACACATTTGCAGAATGAAAAATAGTCTCAATTCCGCCTCGTGGTAGCCAAGCAATTCGAAACGTGGCTGGACAGCAAAGTCCTCGCATTCAGATAAGACGCTCTTGCCTGCAGCTACTGCCGCACATAAACAATCTGCACGCTCTTTAAGTTATGTCTACTTCGTTTCAAGGACATTGTCATTATGGCCATTGGTCAAGGCAGCAGCAAGACTAATCTGCATGTGAAGGGCCAAGCCTGCTGTGTGCATTACCATCAGACGCTGCAGCAGCTCAATGAACCTTTGCAGAGCATCTCCACTAATCGGGAGTTTAAACAAAAGCCCAGGAGGGGCTGGGGTTACCATTATCTTGTCCATGCTGCTCCAGCATAAGCTGAGGTATCAGCAAGGTCCGAGCCTCCCAGGTTTTCAAATGGCAGAGGAGCAACGCTCGGCAGTCCTGTGGGGCAGGAGCAGGGTAGCTCTGGTAGCTAACGCATTACAGTGGGCAGCAATATTATAAATACTCTCATTTTCTTGTTCCAATAGGGCTGTTCCTATAACTAAAGCACGGGCTGAACCTCTCCACTACAAAATCCTCAGCATGGGGAGAAGATGGGTAGCCCCAGCTTGCTCGGTGTTTCTCAAACTACTTACCAGAGCCCATCTGAAGGCGCTTGCATCTTCCTTCCCTTTAGATCCCCTTGCAAAGCACTGATTTTATGTTATTATTTTTTAACCCCAGGACTGAAGCTCTTTGTTCCTCGTAACCAAGAGCTATCACAGCTTCAGATGGCCCCATTTTTTTTAATTATTTTTTTTTTTTTTACACAGTGCACTGAAGAGCAGGGCTCACCTGGAGGTAGATCGCTGCCTCTTGGTAGTTCATTTCCCAGTTGTGGCGGGCAGAGCTTTGCTGCGCGCAGCAGTCCCCGGCAGCAGGGCTGGAGGCATCGTGGATAACGTCGTAGCTGCCTCCATCTGCATCGGGACAACAGGAGAGAAAATGATTTGCAATTAAGCGAGCTGAGATGGGTCAGGGAGCAGGCAAACAAGCCAGGCAGCGGGAGCAGGAACAGGCATCAAGAGGCAATGGAGTGCCCGAGGAACTGGCTGCTTGCACACCTACTCTTCCCAGCAGGAGTGCAGTATTTTAAGGAGAAAAATCTGATTTTTCAGAGCTCTTCAGTCATTAAACAACACACCTTTGCAACACTTTTTGGTGCAGGTAAGCACCAATCTCCTTCTGATAAGAACAAAGAGCAAGGTTCATTTTGAGTCCGTACCCCAGATTTACTTGGAGATGTCTCTGCCATCAGTAAAGCACTACAAAGCAATGCTTTACTGAACATTTGTACAAGGTTTTGTAACTAAAAATCCCATTTAAAAATACAAGTCTGTTGCAAAAAGCAGCTCCCAAACATAGCTGCACACACACAGCACCTACCCACAGGTAAGCTGAGCAGGACAGGTAAATAAGCTCCAGCACTCGCTAGTGGGCATGTTGTACAGCCTTGGTGTTATTAAGACACACGAAACACACATGAAGACTATCGCTGTTCACAAAAAGATGCCGTTTTTAATTCTGGGATAGGAATTTTTACTTTGCAGCTTCGGTGACGAGCACTGCACAGACCCCACAGAGGCGAGGCCGGTGCTGGAGCTCCCCAAAGTTCCCCTCGGTACCCAAACCACGTTGGGGTTCTCACTCTCAGCACAATTCCCTCCTCCACAGCCTCGTGTTCCCCAAGAGGGTGCATCTCTGATTGACCTTGCCAGGGCAAAAATGCTGATTTTCTCCCTTTCTACGAGCACAGACACTGTGATGGAGCAGTTGTCTCTTTCTGTGCCACGAGGTGGGGAAAAAACAACCTCTCCCATGTTAGGATGCCGAGGATTTGCTTCACCTCTTCTCTACGACAAAACCACCCTCATTAAACAAGTGGTCAGGCTGTTCTGGAAAAGGCCACACCAGACCTCTGCACTCCTCAAAACAGCTCCTGCAAGGCCAGCAAACCCTGCACCGAGGCAGAGCCCCAGCTGCCTTTCCCACCCCCTAACCGAAGTCAGACAGCACTTATCGGAGGTTGGTGAAAGCCTCCCGGGCTGCAGGCAGATTGCTGGAACCCTGCAGCACTCAGCCTGCTTCTCTGCGCTTCCCCCATACCTTTAAAACACCTCTCCATGTTCAGCTGGATGTTCCGGTGGGGCTGACTGCTCCCCCAGGCCCCCTTCTTAAACCTTAAATGAGCACAATTTTTTGGAGGAGGGGAGAAATAAACACAGATGATGCTTTTTTTCCTTTATCCACAGAGGTGGAACGCCAGTCTTTTGCATTCATCCGCTTTTTAACTAAAAGATATCAGTAAAGAAGTCAGAAGCTTTACACTGGGAGCTCTAACAAAGCTCTTCAAAAGTGGTTATTTGCAAAGCTTTTCCTGCGTGCACGTCCCAAAGAGAGATTCCCTTGGACTGCAGCCTGACTGCAAACCCCTTTGGGGCAGGATGCTTAACAGGGCACTGGGAGGACCACGCATGGGGTCCCCGAGGCCCCAGGCACCCCTCCTGCTGCTCCTTCAGCATTTGGTGGCTGGGTACAGCCGCAGGATTCCTCGCTCCGAGCTGCTACAGGTCCCTGCGGGGCTCAGCTCAGCTCAAAGCACAGAGAGAGGAGAGAAAATCCCTGGAGTCGTTCGTCCCTCACAATTCAGGAGGTGGTGAAAAAGCACAGAGCCAACACCTGGGCTGCCCCAGCTCTTCTGGGGAAAGGGGATGCGTTAAGGAGGCTGTTACCCTGGTTATTGGAGCACACGGAGATGTTTCAGGAGGTCGAAATGCACCGGGCACAAACCAGCCAAGTTTTGTAGGGCTCAACAAGGCACCAGAACACTGCTCCTACCCAGAGACACCAAACTCCCTTGAATCAAAGTAATTATTGCACATGGACAAACCTCTGCCTGTAAAGGACCAACTCAGGAAAAGCTACGCTGCAGTGAAAACGAGAGGACATCTCCCTGCCTTGCACAGCCAGCTCGCAGCTGAAGCAGAAAAGATGTCCCTGGGAGATCAAGCCTGTGAACAGCTCTCAGACTGAAGTCAGAGCTAAGAAGTAACTCCAGAAACCACGCTATTTGCCCCCTGCCTGCCCCAGCCATCACCTTTCTAGGCACAGCCAACAAACGTTGCAGTGCAGAGCTGCGCTTCGTGGCTGGGCTCCTTCCCCACCAGGTACCAGAAGGCTGATCTAGCGTCCCCGAGGCAACGGCATCATCTGGGTAATAAATAATAATAATAATAAAACAACAACAACCACCACCACCAACTTGAGCAGCGTCTCAATGCCTGCTCGCTCACTTGGCAGCCCTCCAGCCAGCTAATTTCCTCAGCTGCTCCCACGCTAACAATGACACAGACTAATGCCAGCCCCGGCTCGTGCCGCAGCGCGTCCCCGGCGGCGGTTACCGGCGGTGGGGAGCTGGATGAGGTAGGAGGATCTCTCCACGGGGCTCCCGCAGTCCTCCAAGTAGATGGCAGGAGGCTCTCTCCACCGCATGGCAGCCGGCGCTGCCTCCCCGAGCTGCTCCCCGATGGCTCAGGGCAGAGCCGGGCGCAGGAGGGGTTCCTCTGAGTTCCGCGGAGCTGCAGGCATCTTCCCCTTCCCGCTGAGGAAGGTGGCTCGGGGCCGGGCTGAAAAGCTTCCCTCTCGCCGTCCTGCAGGCGGGATGGTTCTTGGAGAGAGCTGCTGGGAGGTTTTGCTGCCGGGCAAAGTTGGTTTGGAGAATGAGTGCAGTCAGAGAGCAAGGCTCGGTGCGCCACGCTCTCCTGTCCTGGCGTGGAGCAGGGTTTGCTCCCCAGGGAACACAAGGAACTGAAGGGAAAGGAGTCCAGAGTCTCGTTGTGACTGCTCAGCACATCTCCCCCCACCTCCCTCAGCAAAAAAAAAAAAAAAGAAGAAAACAAAACATTTGCCAAGTTCACGGTACAAGGGGCGTGACGGAGCAAGCGGCCGGGGCTGCTCGCAGATGGCAACGCTTCCTTCCACACTTGTGTAACTTATCCCAGACGTTCCCCAAGAAGGGAAGGAGGGAGGGGGGGGAAAAAAAAGGAGAAAATAAAAAGAGAAAAAAGCAAAACCAGCTGGCTGCTTACACAAGGCATCCGGAACGATACTGCCGGGACTCCAACGTTTCCATTCAGTGCAGCAGAGCATGCTCCTGTGTAAATAGTTTCCATATGTCATCATTACAATAAAAAACAAAAAGGAAGAAAGAGAAGGAGCATAAACTCTCCAGAGCCCAAACCTCTCCCTTTGCAAAACAAATTCCCTGCTTCGGGGAAGGAAAAACTCTGAGGGCTGCGAGGGAGGGAGGGGAGCAAGGAACCCAGGAGAAACACCAGTCTGTTTGGATATTCATCGTTTGATCTTCGTTACCTGGGTTTAATAATTTGAAAATCCACCTGGAAGCCTGCTAGGAGCTCAGGGAGTTCCAAACCAACGCTATGGGTGCCTCGGAGCTTCCCCAGGATGGCTCCCACCACCCTGTGCTGCAGCTGTTCTGCTTTCTAGCAAGCACAGACTTCTTATGGCGTTACCTGAAACAGGCTTAGATGTTGCTAGTTAGACCCCAAAGCCATGTGTCTGTAGCTGATGAAGGAGGGGGCTCTCCTAGAAGGCTACGGAGGCCTACCTGCGATGGCAGGACAAAAAAAAGGCTGCAGGGAAGGCAGCCCAAGGAACAGAGCTGAACAGGAACGCTCTCCCAGCTCAGGAGGCCGCTCGTACAGCTCACACATCACGTGCACGCCCTGTGTCAGCCAGCAAAACCAACGGTGCTGGCGCTAGGGGCTGCAGACACGAGTAATATCTCCCTCCAAGGCACAGAAAGGCAGGCAGAGCACACGGGACATGGCAGCCAGGACACAACTTCGCTCACGCCGCCTTACGAGGTCATTCCTTCTTAATTAAGGATAATCTGGCACCAGCTTGGCCTTTTGTTTCCTTCTTGCAACCATGTTTGTGAGCACTGCTGTTCTGCATCTACCATCTCCAGGAAGAAGCAAGCCTCGTGGTTATTCCTTCCTTGGAAAGAGGCACGACCTCTGTGACTCCTTGTCTCAGGGGAGCAGCGGCTCCCTGTCGGGGCTGGGTGCAGGTCCAGCAGTGCCTGAGCACCCACCTCAACTGCATTCGTGTCCAGGTACCCAAACCCAGCTGGCTGCAGGCTTTCAGCTGCAGAGAAGCGTCAGCAGGCACCCAGCAGCACGGGGCACATGCCCACAGAGGATGGAGGGCGGCATTTGTTGCCTCTGAAGGCTCCCAGAAGGGTTCCTCTCCTGGGAAGCCCCCAGCAGCCGAGCCGTGCACGGGGGTGCCACTGCAGAAGACGCAGATGTGAAAAAGCATGAAAAGAAAGGAGGGGGCTTCCCTTCCCTGCAGAGCTACCTTCAGCCCCAGAGCCAAGATTTTAACAGCACGCAGGCCAGACAAATCCCCACAGCAGCTGTGGCCAGGCAGCAGCCAGGTCCTGCAGAGGCACTGAGCACGTTGGCATCACATTGGCACCAACACTGGCGTTTCCCTCTCCACGCGTTGACGTGCCACGGAGCTTCACCCCCGCTGCATTTATCGCTCTGCTCCCCTCCGGTGCCACTGATAAGAAACTGCTCCTTTTATTCTTGAGTGCCGAGGTGTGAGCACGCACGCATTTGTCTCTTCAAGGCCAGGCTCACCTACCCGGGAGGAAAAAAAGAAAAGCTGGAAGCCGCCTGGAAAGCACAGCTGGTTTGGCACCGAGCCACACGGCTCGGAGGTGAGCGGCAGGCAGCGAGCTCAGCGCCCTCCCTGTGCCACTGCCAAGGGAAGCAATGCAGGAGCCAGCCTCGAGGGACAGAATAGCCCAGCACCCATCCAGGGGATGGGATGGGGATGATGCCAAGGGATGGGGATGATGCCACGGCATCGGGGCTCTTCGTCTTGCCGTATTCTCACAGCCTGTACCAGCTGTGAACCCCAACAAACAAAGCCACGTCGGTTTCCCACTTAGCCCAGGCAGGTTTTTCCCAAAGATGGATGTTGCCACTTCCTCTTTGCGGCACGAGAGGATTCGAGCCTCCCATCTTCACTTTTTTCTTTGCGACTCCCGTTAGTTCCTGCGGCACGCAGACGAGCTCGCTCCCCACTGCCATCCACCACGCTACGGGGAGCTGAATCCGCAGGCAGGCTGAGCAGATGTCCCCCAGCATGGTAAGCCACTTTTTCTCCGTTCCTGCCTCTTATCAATTGTGCTGCCTATCTCCTTACACTGAATACAACTTAAACCCTGCATTGTTTAGGGGACTGCCGCATCCTTGCTAACGTCTGCACCGCGCACACTTAAAAACACCGAGGCAGGAGCTACGCACAATGCCTGAAGAGCTAAAGCATTGTCGGGAATTGTTTTGTCTCAGCAGAAGCAGGGCCTCCAGTCAGCTCTTGCTCCGAGCGGGTCAGAGCCCGAATTTAGCTAGCTGCTTGCTCTGCCGCTCGCTACGCGACGCGATGATTCACACCGGCATTCGCTTCCTGCACCACCCTGCTGGGGACAAAGAGACAGGCGTAAGGAAGAGCACAAAACACAAGAGATAAAACAGTGGGAGGCTTCAGAGAAACCAGGGATAAGAATAATTCACGGGCTTCGCGAGAACGTCCATGGGCTACAAGGAGAGAGCAGAGCCAGGCACCGGCACGATCTGAGAACATAACACAAAGGGGCTCCTGCTTCTTTTAAGGCAGGTCCGAAGCATTTTACGTGAGCAAAACTCACGTGAAAGGACAGGTTGCACGAGGAAGATGTAGGTAAGAATTAAGAACCTCGCTTCTGCGTTCAGCCCCATTGCTGCCTGGTTTCATATCCTGTATGTGTGATCTTAACAACTGAACCTCCCTACCACAAAAAGGAGAAGTGAGAGCCACAACAGAAGGATCACCTACGGCCTCGTGGTATCCATCCTGTCAGGGTTAGGGCTGGCAGCTCACACGCTGTCATCCTGTCGGTCCCGTTGTACCACAGTGATGAGGGCTCTACAGGTACAGAGAGATTGTTCTGCAACTGGAATCAAACATCTGAGCACTGAAACACCTCGCTTCGAATGGAAAAACAACTGGGAACACCACGGGTTTTGTTGATGACAGCAAAAAAGAGCCAGGCTCTGCCTGTGACTCACAAGAAAGGCCAGACACAGAGCGTACGCACACGGTTACGATCCATAGCTTTTAGGGAAGTGACAGAAAGGGAAAGAGACATCGGAATCCCTCAGATAGAGCATTTCTTTAACACATCCTGTTACATGAAGGAATTTCCTCTTTTTGTTCCAGAAAGGGAAACGCGTGCCTCATGGCTTCAACATGCCAGAGATCTGCTCCAGCACCAGCACCAACACGTCAGCGTTTCCAGGGCGCGTTCCTCCTTTCAATTCTCCAAAGCGGAGCCTCTGCATTTTCTCCATGCAGTTTGGGAAGACGTTTGATGAAGCTGCAACCTGGCCTGTTGAAAGAGAGCAGCACTCCGCCAGGTCCAGCTTCCAGTTTGTTCCACCAGTGGCTCTCTGGGGCAGCCACGACGTTCGCAGTGGGAAGCGGAGAGGAAGCTCCTCGCTTCCATGAGCCCAGCACTACTCCGAGCAACCAACCTGCGTGGCCACAGCTCATTCCTGTAGCAGCAGCTCTCATATTTCCTCCAAAATCAGCCAGCCTCTGCACAACGGCAACTCAAAATAACACAAATGCACCCACCTACAGCACCACGATGTAGAGCGAAGCCTCATTAAACTCCGAGCAGCTCTGTTACAGGAGGATGAGCACCCGGGATGAGCCAGGTACTGAAACCACAGCGATTACCTAGGCAGAGAGCCACCAGGGCTGCTGCTGATCCACCACCTCCGCCAGTCCTCGCAGCCCTACCACAGCGCTGGAGCAGAGCTAGGATGGAGTCAGCCAAAACTGTTAATGAGGTACCTAATTACCTAACCTTTCCAACCTGAGGACAGAGGGATAGCAAGAAAATGAGTAAAAATAAGATTTCATGGCAAAACTCTGACGCCTTACCACTGCGGGCTGGGATCAGAGGGAGCTGTCTGTACGGAGCAGCAGCGAGAGGTGCGTGGTTGTGTTGTGTTAGCATCAGGCTCCGCAGCACTTCTTCTGAAATACAACACTGCCACACCTCTGCTGTTGTCTCTCTGGGTGTCTCAGCCAGGGAACGGCAGCTGCCAGCAGAGGAAGACGCAGGGAAGGAACGGGGGAAGCCCCAGCCCTAGCGCTGTCTTAAAAGGAAAGGTTAAAAAAGAGAAGATTCCAGCATATTTTATGGAAGGCGCGGCTGGCAGGCACTGGATAGGGCATGTGTAATAGCTGGGGAGGAAGGAAGAGCACTGGAAGCCCACCACACGTGGATGTGTTGATGACTCTAGCCAGCACGGATGCAAACATCACCTCCTGACACTGCTCTTACTCTTGTTTGAAGGAACACACACGAGGGCTGCCCCTCAGGCAGCTCACAGAGCTGCACAGCCTCAATTTGTGTTGCTCACATCCTCCACCCGAACACCACATCACTGCCAGGACACATCTCAGAACACTGTCAGCCTACCTGGTAACCTCACAAACTGCATAAATGCACGACTTTGGGTTCATGGGGTGCTCTTGTCTGTAAGCCACACGGACTGACGTTACAAAACCTGCCCTTACATTACACATTCTGAGGAGAGCTGCTGCTGGTGGACCCTTTATTTTACCTGGAAACCTGTGGCTGACCGACCTGAAGTCAGCATCCTGCTGGTCACCTTTTGGGGCTGCAACAAAGTCTCTGTCCCAGCAATATGCAGACTGCTACACCTGTAGCCTTAACGAAAAACAAACAAACAAACAAACAACAAAAAGACATCTGCTGA